GTCGAGACTCACTTTTCTTGAAATGAACGATCAAGCAAGTCGCCTTTGGTATTTTGCGTTTAATTGCATGTAATAATTTAACAACCGAGTTCCAACTTGTTCGAGAGCCTATATCGTACAACCGGGTGTACATGCACACCCGTTTTTTTTGTAATTATTTTCAAGTTTCAAATGCCGATTCATATAAAAGACAGACAACCCCTATTTTGATATCACTTTTCCTTCTCCACCAACTCTTCTTCTTCCCACTTCCGGCGGAACTCACAGACCTGGAAATACCCCACCTTCCATCTCCACCCGATTAGATCTTTTTCTCCTCTCCACGAACACCCATTTCTCTTTCCAATTCCAAGAGTTCGGTTCTTTAGTCTTCAATTGAATTTTGGCCTTCATCTTTTTCAATGTTTCTCTGCCTTAGGCTGCTTCCCGTCACTGGTCAAGCAGCTATAAGCTCGTCAAATTTGATTCAACTATGCCATGTTCTGAGATGAAATTGTTTCAGCCAGGGACGTTGTTGGGTTGTTGTTGGCGAATTAGACAATTATTGGCATGAACAAAAAAACAGTGTTAGATTTACATTTGCAACCTTAGATATACTACGTATATGTAGAGTATATACCACATTAGATACTTCGTACATTATACACACTACATCTGCACAATTTATATGCTACCTGAAAAATCATGGCTTCCCCTAAATGAGCAATAATGTATTTTTAGTGAGCATCTGATCTATTGTATTGAGTATTAGAAACCAAATAATGAGCATCACGATTCACGATCTCTGCTTCATATCTTCTAATTTTTTTTTTCTTATTTTTTCTTTCATAAAAACTTATTAAATTATATATATAATCCATTCCTATTAATTTCAATATGCGAGTCTAATGTAAATTATTAATTTCATTTTGGTGCACCTTTAATGAGCATTACACCTACTCTGTTGAGTATTAGGAGTCTAATATTGAGCATTGTGACCTATGCTTCATATTGTTTAATCCACTCTATTTAAATGTCATACCAATTCATATTTCAAAAGTAGGGAAAACTGTCAAATAGGTCCTCGAACTTTCATTAAAAGGTCAATTAAGTCCCTTATAGGGGGTTCTGTCCGGCTGTCGCGATTTGGGACAGTTCCTGGTGGAATTATTTGATGCGATTTTTTGAGCATATTATTCACCAAGTCTAGTTTACTCATACCAAATTTCAGCTAAAAATTCAATCGGGAACACATTCAAATTAATTCTTGAAGATAACTGCGCATTTTTGCATTCTTGAATTAATTTGAATGCGCTCCCGATTGAATTTTTAGCTGAAATTTGGTATGAGTAAACTAGACTTAATGAATAAGATGTTCAAAAAATTTCATCAAAAAATTCCACCGAGAACCGTCCCAAATCGCGACGACCGGACAGAGTCTCCCATAGAAGGACTTAATTGACTTTTTTATGAAAGTTCGAGAACCTATTTGACAGTTTTCCCTTCAAAAGTATCATATTAGATTCACATAAGAGTTAAATTATATACATGGAAGTAGAGATCATGATACTCAATTGCATGTTTCTGATACTCAATAAGGGAGGTTTGATATTCAATGGAAATGTCTTGATGCTCAACTAACAAAGTTTATGATTTTCATATCATTCCTCATTTGGTAAGTAATGTATGCTCATTTTGTGTTGATGTTATGCTCAATTTAAAATGTTATATCAATGCATATTTCAAAATAATTAGACTCCTAATACTCAACATAATAGGTCTGATGCTCATTAAAATTGCATCAATGCTCATTGACCAGAAATCGTGACATACGAATTTAATGTAATATGACACTTTTTAAATATGCATTCATATGACATTTTACATATATGAGCATAAAACAAGTACCAAATAAGCATATATAACTTACACAATGTGCATTGGTATGAACACTGTAAAGTTTGTTAGTTGATTGAAACTCATGACATTTTCCTTGAGTATCAAACATCATCTATTGAGATGAAATTCATTGTTTCTATTAAATGAGTATTAATGAACTTTTAATGAGAATCGGACCAAATTTGTTGAGTATTAGGAGTCTGATATTGAGCATCGAGATCTCTGCTTCATATCTTATATTCATATTCTTTTTATTATTTTTTCCTTTATAAAAATTATTACATTATATCTATCGTGATAACAACTCCTATGAAACTTCAATTTGTGAATATAATGTAATATAGCACATTTGAAATATGAATTGATATGACATTTTAAAAATGAGCATAAATGGGTATAGATTGAGCATATGTAACTTAGAAAATGAGTATTGATATGAAAATCATAAATTTTTTTAATTGAGCATCAAGACATTTTCATTGAGCATCAAATCTCTTCTATTGAATATTAGAAACATGCAACTTTTGTAGTATGCATTGATATAATTAACATTTTAAAATGAGCATAAATCCAGTACCAAATGAGCATACAAAACGTACCAAATGAGCAATAGTATGAAAATCATAAGCTTTGTTAGTTGAGCATCAATACATTTTCATTGAACATCAAACCTCTTCTATTGAGTATCAGAAACATGCAATTCAGTATCATGACCTATGCCCCCATGTGAATCTAATATGAAAATTTTGAAATATGCAATAATATGACATTTTAAAATGAGCATAAAACAGTTTCAGATGAATGTACGTAACTTACAAAATGAGCATAAAAACTTCAAAAGCTCGTTAGATTTCTCTAATGTGTTTAATATTCATTTTTGCACATGCATCATAATGACAAACATAATAATGACAAATATAATAAATTTATATTAAAAATAATTTATAGCCTTTCATTCTGGAATTACAAATATAGTCCGGGTTTTTTAATAATGTTCATCTATGCATATTTATTTTACATTATACTCATTTTAGTATAATACAAAACTCATGTTAATGATTAGCACATGCTACCTTCGTCCCGGTGGACTTTGCCAAGTGCAAAGTAGGTGAGAAATAAGAATAGTAAAACTGTGTGGTTGAGATTTGTGCAGAGGAGAGAGAAATGTGCAAAACCACAAATTAGTTGCTTTAATAGGAAAATGACAAATTTTTTGAGACAACCAAAAAGAAAAAGTTGGCAAAGTCCAATGGGATGGAGGGAGTAATATTTAATAAACTAATAAATATTCTTCTTAAATTAAAAACTGAAAAATAAAAAATTAATACTTTGAATATAGATCAGAAATTGAAAATTTGAAATAAATGAATTAGGTGGGTAAAAAACAGGCAAAAGAAAATTAGAGACGTAGTGCTCCACATGCAATCCACTTAGGAGTTGGGGCAAATTAAGTTAGACCGGCTAAAGAGGATACATAGTCCACTTACACAGGGAAGCAGAAGAAACGGCCGGAAGAATTTTAGCAAAAAATTACAAAAATACCGGGTGTATACGTACACCCGGGTGTATGATATAAGTTACGAACTTGTTCAATCAAAATCCTTAAAATAATACGGTGTATAATCAGGGATGGAACCAACTAGCCAAGTGATGGGTTATTGTATCAAATGACACCATCAAATATATATACTCCCTCCGTCCCGCTATGATTGTCCCATTTTACCATTCCGGTCCGTCCCACTAAGATTGTCACATGCCTTATTTGGTAAAGTTTGTGTGGTTCTAAATCATTCCTACTTTATTCTTACTTTATCAATTCAATATCAACCACATAAACCCACTTTTATTAATAACCGTGTCACTTTCTCTTGTCCCAAACTTAGGGGGACGGAGGTAGTATTCATTATATATATATATATATGTGTGTGTGTGTGGTACATATAAATTGAAAATGTTAAAAAAGACACCACTCAAACTATATATTTATTGTGTGTGTGTGTATATATAGAGAGAGACTTAAAGTGTCAAAAATGACACCACTCAAACTATATATTTATTGTATATATATATATGTATATATAGATTTAAAGTGTTAAAAATGACACCACTAATATTTTTATAAAGTGTCAATAAACATGATATATTCCCCTATCTCATAAGTTTTTTTTTAAAGAAATGAGTTTTATGTTAAACTCGAATGAACAAACGCCCAAAATGAATGAGCACGCAAAAATGAGATTTTGATGTTTTTTATACTCATTTTGTAAGTTATGTGCTCATTTGTTTCTGCTTTATGCTCATTTTAAAAGGTTGCATATTTCAAACATATCATACTACATTAGATTCACATATTGAAACTAATTGAAATTGATTATTGACATAACTTAAGACTTTTTAATAAATGAAAAAATAACAAACAGAAAGTGATATATCAGGTATGAAGCAGAGGTCACTGATGCTCACCGTTAGACTTCTAATACTCAAAAGAAGAGACTTGATGCTCATCAAAATTGCATCAATGCTCATTTAAGAGAATCCGCGATTTTCACCAAAATTACAAGTTTGCCACCAGCGGTACAGTGGTTACTATAAAGCCATTTATACAATATACAGACTCAATTTAGAGGGGGTTAGTGTTGGTTAATTACTTTATGACTTGCAATTTCCCTAGTTGTACAACAAGTTTGATTTAATATATTTTCCTTAAAAAAAGAAGGAAAAATGGAAACTAATAATCTAACCTTTTAATAGTATTCTTACAATAGTCTCACATTTTCGTTATTCAAAAATAATTCAACCTTTATACTCCATCTCTTTTCTTTGGTCCCTGATTGGTTAATGACCTGCTATTTCAAGTTATTTTCTTATCATTGCAAATTATTATATTTGTGAAATGTGAGATTTATGATATAATAGTTTGCAAAGATAAGATAATAACTTGGAATAGCAGGTCATCAACCGGTCAGGGACCAATAAATGAAGATGAGGTGAAAAGGTTAGATTATTCATGAATTTGAACTATTATAAGAAAATCACTAAAATGTTAGATTAATAATTTCCATTTTCATAAAAAGATTGGAGTAGAATTTCCAAGGTACAGAACTTCGCTTGCGATCTGTCCATAAATAATACGCGAGAAGAGACCGGCCCAACGATGCTAAAAACCCTAGTCGACATTGTCATACAAAAACCTGCTCTTTCCCTCCTCATGTACGCTAACGCTTCGAGTTGATTGTTTGTTAGCTAATCTGTTGCTACTAATATCAGGGTTATGGATGTTTATCTTTTGATTTCTCTGTATCTTGATTTAGGAAGCTGAAAAGATTGTATATCATCTTCTCCTCTTTTCATTGACTGCTTATATGTTTTGGCTGAAGCGCATATCGAAGGCTTCGTGGGTGACTGAAACCCCGTGGAGCTCATATTTTGCGCAATATAAAATACATTTCATCAAAACTTAATGTTCACTTGAGCAGTATGATGTCCCAAGTCGATTTGTTGTGGAATGAACATTTAAGAAGTTTTACCTTCCTCGCTCTGTTTAGCGATAAAAAAGGCGCTGAAATGAAGCACATATCAAGGGCTTGATTTGCGATTGAAACACATCTGAGCTCATGTATTGTGCAATATCAAAATATATATCATCCATATTTGATGTGTTCTTGATGAGTACTTTGAATTTTTCAAGAAGGTTCCTTATGGAGTAACATTTGATTTAGAACCTGTTTATTTGAACTGAATGAAATCTTCAAGTGGTTACATAACATGAGTTTATTGGGGGATAACAGCATTTTGGGAGTCTTTTCACCTATTTCTTCTATTGTAGCGATTTTTATCGTTGCTCAACGGCATGGGTGTTGGACCACTGAAGAAAGTTGCTGCTGTGAAAAGATGGTGATTTCATTGGTTTGGATTTGCCAGTGGAGTTCTTCCCTAGATGATATTGAAATAACGAAATCAAAATTTGAAATGGATGGGCAAGAAATCAGACACCACAAAGTGAGCAAGTTTTACCAAAGTAAAAAAATGCCTTCAATATGTTTTACGTACATTTCAGTAATGACGAGTTAACCACCGTCTCATTATGTACAAAGACATGATTGTTGGATATGTGAGTTCAGTATGAGGTTCAAGAAAAAAATAATGTGAGTTGTTTTATTCTTCATCTGTGATAAGGTGTAACTAATTATGGTCTGAGACTATTAGTGATAGTAACTACCTGGTTCTCTGGAGGGTAGTTTCTCCCAATCCCGGTTCAAGCCTCAAGGTTTTTGGTGATGAGCAGAGACTCAAGGGAAGAAGAAAGTGATTATTGAGGCATTAAATGTAGTGCTTTATAAAATGACATACTCCGTATATGAATATAGATCAGTAGTTCGGCACAACGATATTTCGAATGGAAAATGTATTTAAACAATGATGTGATACACAAAAAGCATATACATAGAATAATTCGTATAGAAAATGTATTAAAACAATGATGTGATACAAAAAAATCATATAAATGGAAGTTTGATTTATTCAACCACTAGAAGGGAACGATCAAAATTGTTAGTTGAATCGCTATTTGAGAGTAAATTAACAAAATCACCCCATCGTTATTGAATAGAATATCTAATCAAGTGTTATCTTCATCTAATAGTACAACAATCATTGTAAATCACCAACTACATTCAATCGATTTTACAGTAAAAATACACAAACTCTAAGCATTGTTAGAAAAGAAACATATGAATTAGGGAAAACTGTCAAATAGGTCCTCGAACTTTCATAAAAAAAGTCAATTAAATCCTTCTAAAGGAGACTCTCTCCGGCCGTCGCGATTTGGATGGTTCCCGGTGGAATTTTTTGATAAATTTTTTTGAGCATTTTATTCATCAAGTCTAGTTTACTCATACCAAATTTGAGCTAAAAATTCAATTGAGAACACATTCAAATTAATTCTTGAAGATAACTGCGCATTTTTGCGTTCTTGAGTTAATTTGAATGCATTCCCAATTGAATTTTTAGATAAAATTTGGTATGAGTAAACTAGTCTTGATGAATAAGATGCTCAACAAAATTCATCAAAAAATTCCACCAGAAACCGTCCCAAATCGCGACGGCCGGACAGAGTCTCCTATAGAAGGACTTAATTGACTTTTTTATGAAAGTTCGAGAACCTATTTGACAGTTTTCCTTATGAATTAATTGAAAGTTTCTCTTTAGGCCTTTTTCCATTTATATCACATCATTGGGGATGTTTGGCAATCGACTGTTAGCTGAATCTGTTGGCTGATTGGTGATAGCGAGTTCTGTTGGCTGTTTTGATTAGCTGATAATGTTAGCTGTTTATAAAAGAGTGTTTGGTTAAATGGCTGTTTACAATCGGCTGAAAACTTGTTACATTACTTTTAAGGGCATCAATTAATTTGTTTTGTTTACTAACTACTTTTATTAATACAACTCTTAATCCGTTTTTATTTAATAAAAATAAAATTTCATTAACACAAGTAACAATTCGTTTCAACATTGATTTTAAACACAAATAACATTCGTTTAATAAGTAACATCCAGTAATTCCATTTTTTCCTATTGATTTAAAAATATCAAACTATGGGTACTTCAGCCTTGAGCAACGATTGACATCCATCATAATATAGTTGGTTTGCCAGATGTGTTGACATTCAGAATTACTGATTTGTCATATTAAAAAAGATAAATTAAAAAAATAATGTGATGGCAGAAGATACTTTGGTCGAGAAAGTTGGATAATTTGGTGTAGGAAGCACCTGATGTTGAAGAACGAAGGCTTGCTCCACGCTGTATTTTGTTGTTGTTGTAGGGTATGGAAGAAGAAGAAGAAATGACGAGCATGAACGGAAGGGAGCAGTGCGGATATAATGGGAATTTGCCATAGATATTCAAACGGCCAAACCTATGTAACCAAACACCACTATTAGGTGTTTATCTCGTCAAAAAACAAATAATGGTCAAATCAACCAAAAAATGACTGATAGGCCATTAACCAAACATCCCCATTTAGGGGTGGACCCGGGCCGGTTCTGGTTCGGGCCTAGGTCCGGACGGGCTTTTATTTGGAAATGATGGAACCGGAACCGGCCCAGGTAGCTGGCGGTTCAGGGCCAGGCCCAAACAATACCGGGCCGGTTCCGGCCTATTTTTTTATTTTCTTTTCATTTTCTATATAACCCCGACCCCCCCCCCCCCAACACCCCCATCCCCCCAAAACACCCAGCACAACCCGGTAGAAAAAAAAATGAAAAAAAAAAAAAATTGGCCCGAACCGGCCGGGCCTGTTCGCATTTTAGGGGGGCCCGAGCCTGAACCGGGATAGGAGCGGTTCCGGGTGCCCCGAACCGGACCCAAGACCGGGTACCGGGCTGGGCCCAAACAATTCCGGGCCACCCGAGTCCACCCCTATCCCCATTAGCGGAACAATCGGGAAAGAAAATATTTTCCCGGACCCTATCACCTTGACGTCCGTCACGGATTTTGCACCCTGAATATTAGGATGGAACGTACCCCGCCGACCCGGGACTGTTATGTCGAAGAATCTGTGGAATTATCGCACCGGTGAAAAAGAGATTTTTCAATTTTTTAATATTACATATGCAATATTGATCTCATATGATAGATCGTAAGTTATTATGAATTTTAGTATAATTTGTTTAGCCTAAACTTGGTGCGGTGGAAAAGAAATTTCGATTGAAGTACAATTTTGAAATCTCAAATAGACGCAACATGTTTTGTACTTTTTTATTAAAAAAATTATATATGCAATATTGGTGTCAAATGAAAGACAACAAAAAATTATGAATTTTGATTCATTATTTATAAAAATTGGAGCAAAAATAAAAAAGTTATATCCATTTAAAAATAATAAGTGTTTTTCAAAATATGTGGTCCCACCATTGAAGTTGGCATTTGGGAATGCTTCGTTGAAATCGGAAGTCACGCAGGTAAGTGGACTTCCTCCCGGGGCCACGTTGTCTCTGGGTCCGCGGGGGAGCGCGGAGTGGTCACCCACCCGATCTGGGGCTCGGGAGAAGAAGGCTGGTCCTCCACAACCACCAGGGGGGCATCCTTCTCGGGGGCAGCTTCCTACTTCCTCTGCTTCTTCTCCGGAATCACTGCACCTTTCTCGGCTCACTTCCTCTTGAGCTCCTCCGCTTGGGAGCCTCCGGCATCAATGCCGGGCAGGACAGCATCAGCAACCTTCGAAGGCTCCTCGCCCCCTTGGACCTTCGAAGTCTCAGACTTCTTGAAAAACTCGTCCACCGGCTTCTGCTGGGACGAGCCTTCGTTCTTCTTCGGCGCCTTCGACGCCTTCTTCTTCAGTGCGGCATAGGCCTTGACATCCATGGCTTTACCTGAAAGAGAGAGTAAAACGGGCGTTAGACAATGATAATCAAACAAGTGCAAAAATTACTAAGTGTTAGAAATGTAGGCTCTCGGCAACAACCTCCAGCAGTTAAATAACCCCGGTCGATCAAGGGGTATTTCTCGTCACTCTCGCCCCCCAAGCGGTATCGCCGGAAATCGAGAAGGTATAGCTCTTCCGGGAGGGTGGTGGCTTTTATTGTTATAACCTTCTCAGAGCCCTCGGGCTTGGCAGTCAACTTTTTGCCGGTTTTCTCCAGAGCATAACTCCCGACTTTTGGGTGCCTTCGGAAGTAATCACGAAGGGGAATGGAGAAGGGATTCTCAGCCATACGAACGAAGCAGAAGCGATCTTTCCAGTTTTTATGAGAGGATGGGACTAGGGGTGTGCACCGGTCCAAAACCGGACCGGACCGGAACCGGTTAGGACCAAGGTTGTTAAAATCGTATTTTTGAATCGAATCGGTAGATGTTTTTGAAAATCGAATCGTAAAATTGAATCGCAAATCGTAAGATTTTATCAAACATATTTTAATAATTATAAAATAAATAAATATTAAAATTAAGTTGCAAGTTAATGGTATTATGTCATTTTATTACATACCACTATACCTACAAGGTTAAAAACAAGATTTATAAACTATTTTTATATTGTAAATAGAGTGGATAATAACATTAAACATATGTAAAACATAAAAATAATTAAATAACACAAGAATCCATTACTTTTTTTTTTAAATATACCATTGATGTTATTATTATTGAAATTTTGTATCAATTTGTAGTAGTTAATTTTAATAAATTTGAACCATTTTCAATAAAAAAAAACTTATTCCGATTTTGATACGATTTTATACGATTCTACAGATTTTTGTACGATTTTGTTACGATTTTGTACGATTTTATGATTTTACGATTTTACCTTCGATTTGAATCGATTTATTATTGTAGAATCGTAAAATCGTACGATTTTACGATTTAAATCGAGATTTTAACAACCTTGGTTAGGACCGGAACCGGAATCATCATTTTCTTTGGACCGAAGACCGGACCTGAATCTAACCGGTCCGGACCTGAATTTTCCGGTCCGGTCCGGTTTTGACCCTAATTGACCCGGTTTTAAAAAATAAATATTATCTTAGAGTGTTCTTAGTTGGCCCCAAATTTTTTTAGGAATAAGGCTTGGATGTTGTTGTTCTAAATTATAATTTTATGTGCGGATATGCTAAATAGACTAAATAATTGTTTATCTAGCTCATTTATTAATTTTGGAATATAATTATCAAAACTATTCAATCGTAACAATTAGTTTCCCACAATAATTAAAACTACAATCTTTTGTGTATATTAAAATGCAAAATCTATTATAAACTAATAAAAATTAAATTAAGTCCAAAAATATACTACGTATAAACTACATGTGCACCTGCAAATAAAGAAACAAATAAAAAGGAGAAAAATCACATAAATAAATAAATAAATAACAACTTAGGAAATAATTAGACACCAAATATAAACTATGTATATATTCGTTTATATAATAAAAGATAAAAATAAGTCATAAACATAATGACTAATGATACAAAAGCAAGTATATATTTTACGGGAAAATAGGTTACCGGTCCATTCCGGTCCAGACCTGTTTTTTCCGGGTTTGACCCGGACCGGACCGGAACCCGGAATCTTACAAAACTAAGGACCGAAACCCGGACCGGTTTATACCGGTCCGGTCCGGACCGGTCCATTCCGATCCGGTTCAGGTCTAAAATACGGTCCGACCCGGTTAATGCACAGCCCTAGATGGGACCTCAGAGAAAAGCCTCCATTCGGGAACTTGCTGCAGGTTCGCAAAGCCCCCAACATGCGAATGACCCCCCCCCGACAGAGGTTGAAGGATAAGAAGAACTGATCCAAGGATGGATCCACCCCTCGGCTATGGCACAATGCGAGGAAGCCGGCCAGATAGGAGTGGTTATTTGGTGTCAATTGGCAGGGAGCGAGCTTCACGTACCGGAGATATTCCAGAACGAAAGGGTGGAGCGGAAAACGCAACCCTAATTCCACTGAGAGGATATGAACCGCGAAGCAACCTTCAGGCGGACGCAGCAACACATCATTAGGTCCCGGCTCCACTACTTGCGCCGACGGCCCGATTAGAAGCTGGGTTTTGAGGTACTCAGCCTCCCCGGCCTTCGTCTTTACGTCGAGGGCAGCTGTGTTAAGGTAAGAATGGCCTTCAGGGATGCCAACAGGCTGCCCAGCGTCTGCAGCCGCCTTTTTCTTCTTTGGAGCCGCCCTCAGCTTCTTCTTTCTCTTACCCGGAGCCACGCTGAGAGGTTCCGGTTCTAAGGGCTTGGAACAACTGGCCTCGGCATCATTACGGGCCGGCAAAACAGCCACGGTTACCTTCAACCTTTCCCTTTCCTCCTCCTCCTCCGCAACTTGAAGGGCGAGGGCCAGCTCCTCGTCTTCGTTTACCTGTTCGAAGTCTTCGGCCTCCAACTCGGCCCGAAGGGTGCTTTGTACTTCCTCCGCCACCACGGAATCGTTACTGGCAGACAATTGCACGCTCGAAGACTCCACCTCAGAATAGCTCTCTGACTGCACAGGAGCCTCCTCCGACATATTCTGAGAATCGCTTGCCGACGACATCCTTCCGCGTAGAAAAGATGGGAGTAGGGGAAGAGAAGAGGACTGAGGGCTCCCTAAAAAACTCACACTGAACGAAAGGAGAAGGAAGGAAAATATACGAAGTACTCTGACAAGTGGGAAAACTAACCTCGGAAATGAAGTGTGGACGAAGGGGTTACTTTCTCTCTCTAGAAATTTCGGCAGAGCTCCGCTATGATTCTGAAACGCACAAAGGAGAATGGCTTGAGCAAGGGGTATTTATAGGCAACTGGGCCTCGATATATGGGCCTCGATTCGAAAGCCCATCATTACGGGCCGTCGGTTCAACCAATGGATGGCACCCCCCCCCCCCTTCAGCCAACACGGACACGCCACGTGGATCGCCCCTCCAACGGCTCCTTTCCAACGGCTCTATTTTGGGAACCATCGAGGCAGTCTCAGATAGTGGCCTCCGGCTATCACCTACTACAGCCTTCGGTGGACCCCCTTCACCATGCATCTTCGGGAAAGCAACAATATAAGCCTTCGCTTATCCATTATGCCACCCATCATGGTATACTTGGAACCTCCGGTGAACAACACTCACCAGGTGCCCTCGAGCATCTAGCAGCATAAGCTTTCGGCTTGTCAATGTTGCATCCTCGAGCATATATCACACGAACGCAACTACTCCTTTTCCCTCAAGTACCTTTCGGCAAAAGGAGTGGGGGACTGGTATACACCCCTCGGGAATCACACAAAACAAAATTTCCTCATGCAAAAATTTACAATCAACGCACATAGCCTCCGGGCGAACGTCAAAGTAGAAATCCTCGGGTACATACTTCAAACCCTTCGGCACAGGCAGAGCATAAAATTTTTTTCCCAAGTCACTTGCAGAAATGAAGCAGCCCTCATCACAACACATGCAGGCAATACATCTATACTTCCATCAGAAAACCCTCGACATGTGAGGGACTGAGGGAAGCCTTCGGCAACCAGCAGAAGACAAGTTCTCAAGCAGAGGCACCCAACGAAATAAGGAAGCCTCCAGAAGAATCAACACAACTACTCCTTTTTCCTCAAGTACCTTTCGGCAAAAGGAGTGAGGGACTCCTGATGGAGTATATGGCCCAGGGACCCCCGGCCCATGGACTCCTACTTCTCCTACACAAGTCCATTGAGCCCAGGGAACGTCTCAGGCCCAAATGCAACGGCCCAAGCCTCAAAGAAGCTCAGAATACACACTGGGGTGTCTTCGGCCTCCTTGGCCGAAGGCTCCAAAACTCGCAGGATAGCTTTTTTGGGCATACGAAGCTACTGGAAGAAAACGGCGGAAGACAGGAGCCTTCGGCATCATCAGAGCCTTCGGCATCAGAAAAGCCTTCGGCTGAACCAAGCCTCCGGGCATACTGAGCCTTCGGCCACGCAGGGGTCCTCTGTTACATGGAGCCCTCGACCACACACGGACCCCTCGGCTACACGAGGAGCCTTCGGCCTAACATGCTCAATCATCGAAGATTCCTTTTGAAGACAGCTAACCACCGCATTTAATGCAACGTCACATCCGCCAACCGCATTCAATGCGATGAACATGCCACTGCCGGTGCCACCCGATTGATGAGACCCTTCGGCCGTTGGATTGTTGACACGTGTGCTCTCATCGCATTTATTGCTGCTATAAATAGCAGTCCATTTCTACTTGTAAACGATCCCAGATCCCAACTCCACATCTCGAGTTCATTTAATAAAATCGACTTTCTCTCCTCCTATTTGCTCTGACTTCTCTCTAGTTATTCCCGTAATAACCCCTCGGATAAGATACCCCCGGGTGGACTATCCATCATTTGGTGCTTTCATTGAGAATTATTTTCGGAATTATTTATTTATTTATTTAACATTAATTTTGGAAAAAACTCTAAATTTTAAGCAACAATACAGGGAAAAGCTACTCCGTACTTCCGTATAAATTAAAATCTGGGGTGGAATATGTCAATTCTTGGAAATCTAATGGATGATTATGTCCTTCTAATCCTCCCTCGGAGGTCTTACCACCAAAACTACCATTCCCAGACTTTCAGTAACCCCATTTTCCTTCAATTTCCCTCCGCTCTCAACCATCAAACCCGCATTTGAACTTCCATCTTCACCTCCAACCACCAAGTACAAGCTGCTGTTTCCAACCACCTCTTTCCTCCGCCGATCAGCCACCACCAGAATTGGCTCCTCCTTGCTCTCTTTCCATGGCAAAATCCTCCCATTCTTAAATCTCACCGCAACTCCACCTCTCTCTAGTCCTGCTATCGGCTTCCATCCTGGTAGAACCACCCATCTCTTCCACTCTTTCTCGGACTCCACTATTCCAAAACCCCCAACTCCTCCGCAATTCCACGGTGCCTCCTCAACCTCCGCCGCCTCTTCCGCCTGGCACACTGGTAAGATTATCACCTCTGTCGATTCTGCCACCTCCCCCATTTGCATTCTCACCAACGACACTTCCACTTCCTCCTCCTTCACAGCTCTTTCGTTCCCTTCTGCTTTCCCCTCCTCAGCCAGTAAAGCTCTTGCTGAACCAGACTCCACAAACTCCATTGCCTTCTGCAGAGATTGCCGCCTGAGCTCCTCCAGCAAAGCCGCTTCGTATTCCATCGCCTGTTTGAAGTAACTGAAAGCAAGGCAATCCCCCGGAGATTCCGCGTTGAACATCGCCCACCCGCGGTCAGCGCGCCTCAGCGGGAAATCTTTCATCGCTCTCGCTAAGATCCGCGATTGCTTCGCGTCTGAATGGCTCTTCGCGATGAAATCCGCCGCCGCTGCTCGCTGGGCGGCGCTGAGGATGCGAATCTCATAAAGCAACTCCGCTCCGCCGGAGTCGAAAAATGACAGCTTATCCGCGTCAATTTTGGAATTCAGGAGAGACTGACGCACCTGCGAAGCTACGACGAGGAGGTTCTGCTCGATTCCGGAAATTCCAGTGATTTCTTCGATTGTGGAAGGCGTGAAGCCTTCCTGGATCAGTGAAGGAATCAGAGGAGCATACTCGAACCATAGCCCCAGGCGGTTTGTGAGGATTTCGAGGCGGGAGTTTGTATCAAGAGATCGGAACTTGGAAGGTATTGGAGAAGGAGGTGGCCGGAAAGGTTGGTAGAGCTGTTTTTGCTCCGGCAGCTTTTGGCCAGAGGAGGGCGGGATAATGAGAGCGGTGATTGTTCTAGGCGAGAGAGTGGGTTTGTGGAAGATGGTGGGCGCCGGTGGAGATGGGAGGAATTTCGAGGAGAGTAACGGCGGCATTGGAGCATTCACGTTGAGAGAAATCATGGTGTTTGAGGTCCAGGAGAAACAGAGGCTTATCCACAATCTATTTTCGTTTCTAAACGTTCATCTTTTCCTGAGATGTTTTGGTATTAATATCCTGCTCCACTTATTTGACACGAACGAAAGGGAGAATTTTACTGCACCCCTTTTGTGATGTTTTGGTATTAATATGATTCTATTTGATTTTGTACTCTTTTTTAAAAAATATTAATGTATGCATATCATTTTATTATAAAGGATGTTTTTACTTGGACTGTAATTTACTGGTCTGGTCTGTTTCGGTCTGGTCTGTTTTGGTCTGGTTTGGTGTGATTTGAAATTTTATTTTATATATATATTATAATCCATAAATAATTATATTTTATTCATCTATAATTACAAATAATAATAATAATAATAATAATTAGGGGTGTGCACTAACAAACAATCAAATGAAAGCGTACTTGAAGAAGGGGAAGAGCAGGTTTTTGTATGACAACGTTGACCAGGGTTTTTAGCATCGCTGGGCCGGTGTTAGACAATTTGTAGCAATCCAGAGTCCAAATTATTAAATTTGGATTTCGTCCATTTTTTTTTCTTTTTTTTTTTACCCTGGAAGGTAAATCACCCATTAGTGGGGCAAATGCCGGGGGTCACTTGCCAGAGTTTTATTGAAATTGGAGCTTACAAGGAGAGGAGGACTAGACCAGAACCTCTCAATGGAAAAGTACATGAAGAACAACAATAAAATAAAAATTTTGGGCGGGTATGGCCTGACCCAAAATTGAAAAATAAAATCAATAACGAAATTTGTATCTAGTCATAGCACATTGGAGCATTGGATTCTCTTCTCAAGTTGTGTATCTAATCATAGCACATTCAATTATTTTCTCCACATGATGTGTCTATTCATATAAAATTGATTCCCTTCTACACTATGTGTGTCCTTTCCTAACATTGGATGCTATTCTCCATTATGTGTACCTTTTCCTAGCATTGGATGCTATTCTCTACTATGTGTGTTCTTTCCTAGCATTGGATGTTATTTTCCACTATGTTTGTCATTTTCTAGCATTGGATGCTATTTTCCACTTGGTGTATTCAGTTATGGAAAATTTGGATCTATCTTGCACTTGGTCTGTACACTTTCTTATATTACATCAGATCCTCTTACCACCATGTTACTACATAGAATACATGTTATTATAAATACATGCTCTGACTTTACATTGGAGTCACACAACTCACGTTAACTTCTCCCATAGAAAATAATGAGTTCATTTCACGCATTTTACCAATCCATTCATGCGAACGGCTATGATGGCTTCTTTAGTTGCAACAAACTCCAACACTCGTGATTACATAGATCGTGGTCGAGAAGCTAGACAACGTTTGTTTATTATAATGCACAACATGATAGTGGAAGATGAATATGAAGAGAGGGATGAAGAACTAACCCATCAGGACTACGGTGAAGACTATGACTATATTGGTTTTATGTACCATCACCCCACTATACTCAATTAAGAGTCTAAAAGTTCTATTTTTAATTTTTTGACTCCTAATCTTTAACCACTAGAAATGGTCTTATGTATCAATGTATGGACAGACGCCAAGCGAGGTTTTGTACCAGGGGAAACAGTCACATACTAGTATTTATTGGAAAATTCTACCGTACCTATACTAATTTGGAAAATTATACACACATTTTGAAGACCAATCAAATTACATTATTGTGCCACATCACCCCCTATATTAATATTCTCCATAGTAATTTGTTAACTTCGTATTATGTACTTCGTATTACGGGTTAAGGCGACAAACCCAGAAACTAAGGGTGTGAACCACCGTTGTCGCTGAGAGAGGCAGATTATTGTTGATGGATTTTTGTTGCCGTTGACCAACAAGTGTTTGCTGAAAACCGTTGTTGGATTATGAAGAACCGTCTGCGCGCTTGAAGAGAAAAGCCATTTTTGGCAAACCATCGCTGACGGCTTTCATTACATTGTTGACAAATACCTACCCCTTCGATTCTTGTCGGGAGAAGATAGTTTCGAACACTAATGCACCCTAAAACTCAAAGGTTTTGCAAAAGGATTGAAATGCAAATAACTCAAATTATTTAACTTAATTACGGAGTATTTTATTATATGGTTTGAAATTTACAAGTGTAGTGTTTTAAATGGGTTATTTAGTCAAATGTACCGTACACTTGTAATTAAGAGAGGCACCATAGAAAGATCCATATTTATTAACTACTACCTCCGTCCCATTTTATGTGTCTTCTTTGCTTTTGGCACAATTTTTAATAAAGTGGTTGAAAAGGTAAAAGTTGTGGTTGAGATTTGAGTATAGTAAAGTGAAATGTTATGAATCACATATTTCTTTCCAAAATGAGAAAGATGACACTTATTTTGGGACAACTCAATAAGGAAAGTAAGACAGGTAAAATAGGACGGAGGGAGTATAAAGTAGGGAGTATAAACCTAATCTATTTCTTAAGAGTATATGTATTGCTTCTAGAAGCAAAATACATATTGTACTTCGTATTGTTTATTAATAATCTATTTCTTAATTGTATAACTACTTCATAGAACAGAAATATGTATTATATTATTTGTGTAAAATTTACTCTGCATTTCTTAATTGCTTCTCGAAACTAGCTTCTCATAAATTGATTCTGAAATAAAATTATTTTATAATTCCTTTCAATCTAATGAGATCGATGTGATACACATCAATAATGTTGGTATTATTACGAAACAAATACTATAATATACAAAGTAGGTTACAAGTAAATCCAAAAGCAATGTTTTATAATTCCTATTACACCCTTTATTATTGCTTCATTCATTCCTTAAAATTTTGTCATATTTCCCTTTTATTGTCTCCAAAATTTTGTCATTTTCCCTTTGTTGGGATATATTATCCTGAATCTGTTATTGTTCAGAAGCCCGAGACCTCACATAGTACAGAGCTCGTTCAATAAGGCCCGTTTCGGCCCGTTTTGATCATATGGCCCACTTCGACCCAGCTGGCCCGTATTTGGCCCATTAGGGTGGAGAACACCTTTTCCCTTATCCCTATAAATAAGAGGCTTTCCCACATGTTTAAGGATCCTTTCGTTGACTGATTCTTCTTCCTTCTCTCTAGCTAGCTTAGAATACTCCATGAATGGGAGCTCAATACCTTGTACTTTGTAATGGTTGGGATAGATTAATGAGAATGAAAGAGTTTGGATATTAGCCTAAAAATTCCCATAGTTTTCTCCCTTTCGGTATCTACATAAAAACTGAACTTGTTTATACACATTTATACATATATTTACTATATCGTGTTGAATTAAACTCAACACTGGCACCGTCTATGGGAGTATGTCCAAAAAGATTCATGTGTTCTACTGTTCTTGAGTTTCTACGAGAAATTCATACAGATGAACTCGGGATTCTAGAAAAGAAAAAAAGGACAGAAATGGCTCTGAGGGAAGAAGAAACGAAGAAGCTGCAAAAATTGGGAAGCCAAATCTGGATTTTTGTTTCCAGATCTGTTTTGGAAGTCGCCGGAGCCGCCGCCGTCCCCGCCGGCAGGGAGCCTCCGCGGTGTTAGCCGGCACCAGAAGAAGCTCGCTTCAGCACCCCAAATCTCATAACACCTGCAACACAGCTGCTCGTCACGCGCAGCTGCTTCTGCCGCCTAAAGTCGCCGCACCGCCGCTCGCCGCCCGCCGCCGGCGGTCAACTACCGACTACCCCTCTACCTGGTCAGTCGCGGTTCGAGCCTCCACCGGCCATCCTGTTCGGCCGCTGCGACCTGAGGACCTAGCGACTGGGAGTTCTTTGACTTCCGCCATTAATGGAGATTCGGAGCTCGGGGAAGGTACTGACGAAGCTCAGTAAGCAGGCCTCCCATCGGGACCAGACCATGTCATCATCATTGCACCGCTGCAAGCGTCCATACCTCCGTCGTTTGGCCTCGGTTTGGTGAGCCAACTTTCCCAAAAGATACGGAGTGCTCAGATGCCTTGGTCCGGCCACGTGAGTAGGATGGAGAGTGACAGAGGAATAAAGTTGGACCACCTTGACCAAGTCAAATAGCAAAGGAACCAAATTAAATTGAGGAAACCATGCTGGGGAACGTCTATGCTGAAGTTGTGGAGCATTATTTGAGAAATTCATAAATGGGGTACTTCGGACCAAAGTCAAAATTGATAGAGGGAGAAAACCTGGCTAGCCTTATCGCTGGTTGAGCCCATCTAAAAAAAAAGCTAAGTGCTCCTCTTTTTCTAACTTAAGTGTTCAAGTGATGAAGCATGATTAGTAGTGCTATAATTTATTATGTTATCACCATTATTTAATAGGGGCTAAATTGCCCCGAAATTAAATAGTGCGAGCGATGCTCTAATGATAATTATTTCACCGTCATTTTAATTAATGGCCGGTTGTTGTGGGCCCGTTGGCCCGCTCCTGATCGGCTTTAATTAGCGAACGGAGCGTATCTCAATGGCCTTTGGTAGGATAGTATCATTACTATTACCTGTTACATCACTATTATTTATTAGTGATAAAAATGTCCCGACTTAAATAATGAGGAGCGAAACTCTAGTGATGGCTAGTTCAGCCAACATTTTTATTAAATACTTAATTGTTTGTGGGGTCGTTGGCCCACTCTCGATCAACTTGATTAAGGGAGTGTTTGCGATTACTTCAACTTTAAAAAAAGTGATTTTTTAAAGTGAATTTGGGAAAAGTGATTAATAGTAAAAGTTGATAGTGTTTGAGAAAAAAGTGATTCTGAAAAAGTAAAAGTTGGTAGTGTTTAGTAAAATAAGTACTTTTTGTGTAGTAGAAAAAGTGAGAAGCAGTTTAAAGCACCCTTCTACCTGCTTCCAGCTTTTAGCTTTTAAGTGATTAATTTAAGCAGAAGCTATCATTTGAAAACACTCTTTTCAACTTTTTTTAAGCCAAAAGCTGAAAAACTTTTTTTTTAATCAACCCCAAACACTCCTTAAGCAATCCGAACGTCTCCAGAGGGCAGTGCCCCGATGACGCTTTTTAAGTTGGGGTTGCGCATTAGTCTGCACGACATCAATGCCTGATCGACGATCGTACCCCAGTACCATCTACGCCATGAGGCGCGAAGTGATTGTTGCCAACACGGCCTATGGGGCCCGAGGGCACCAAAGCGCTCAACCTCGTTTTTCGAGGATAATGCGACAAGCGTGGGTTTGAGTTCTCAAACTCACAGACCAATGATTATTTTTATGAGACGTTCGGCAGGCTGCTAAGTGGCCCCGCCGCGAGCTGCCACGTCCAGTAACCCCGCACGATGAGCTGAGTCGAGGGTCACAATAAGCTGTAGGCCTGGCAATCGTGAGCGTTAAAAAGAAGAAAGCCACGCAGATTGCTATGTATATATATTGTCGGGCTGTGCGGCCCGTTACCATGTTAGTTATGCAAGCAAGGTCGCTCGACGCGCTCGAGCAGAAGATTAAATGACGCTAGGCATGAGTTCCGAAGACGTTCCAATCGGCTTAAGCAAAGGGCCGCGAGACGTTCATACGTCCCCAAGAGGCCGAGGTCCAAGCGGAAACCAGACGTAAAATTCAAAACAGACTGCATCAACACAGACGTGATATGGGAAGTTCGCTTCCTTCAAAAGACCTTATGCGATTAAAAAGTGTGTGTAAAGATTGGATGACCATTATATGTAATCCTAGATTCGCAAAAGAACATTTGTCTCATTTTCTTTCTAATCCTGCAGCCTCCTATATTTTGATTCTGTTAAATGGTGTATCTGTCGCAGCTCAAGAAAGAAATCTTCCAAATTTTAAAGTTCCGGCAAATAAAGTCTTGTTTCAAACTCACAGGCCTTGCTCTAACTCGGTTAATGGACTGATCTGTTTTCAACCTAAAAACCAAAACAGTTATACCATAGTGTATAACCTGTCCACATGGGAGAAAAGAAACTTGCCGCCGGAGAAAATCGAAGAAGGCTATAAATATGCACTAGGATTCGACCATTCCTCACAAAATTACAAAATACTTCACTTTGGTGGAAAAAGGGGTTGCGAAGTGTTGACTTTGGAGAGACAATCATCCTGGAGAACTGTGGTTGATGAACCACAGTTCCGTACTGAGAGAGCATTTGAATCATCTGGCCCGATTTACTGTGAAGGAAAGATTTATTTCAATAAAAGCTACCAGAATTCAGAAGGCTATGTCCATTATTTTAATGTTGAAAATGAGAGGTTTGGGACTATCGTAGTTCCCCCTCTAGATGATGGACTTTATACTCATGCGCCTGTAGTAGAGGTTGGGCCAAATAATCTTGGATTTGTGGCGTGGAAATATCAAAGGCCGTGTTCTCCTGAGTGTAGGTTTTGGGTATGGGACCAAAACCAGACATGGGATCTAAGGTGGAGATTTTCGATGTCCAGCATGGCAACTATATGGGGTTCCATTGAAATAGGAGAAATTGTAATAGGAGTCAGTAAGCTGTTTTTGTACGATGTCGATACTTTCACTAAAAAGAAGCTCAAGGGGCGGTTGCAAGGTATCATAAGAACGTTCTCTGCAATCATGTGGAGAACACATTTCCACTATCAATAACTCAGTAAGGTCATCCCCTGTCATTTATATGTTCCTGTACATGATTTTTTATTTATTTGGATGAACAGTTTTAGTGTCAGTTTATCATGTTATGTGCACTCTTACTTTCTACTTTGTCTACACTGTTTTAGCTTGCCCTTCGGTGATTTAAATATTGCCACATTATAGTTTAATCAGGCGAGATGCTAAAAATGGACAGTGTGTTATTGTTATGTACTATATCATGATGTGCAAATTTATCTCACGTATAGAGAATGTGGGTGATTATGAAGAGATTATTAGTTATCAACTATAGTGGTTTTGAGAAGGATTAATGCCAACGGGTAGGGAGAGAATTGTTTTAGGGCTTATGTTGACTTGAATTGTTCCAATATTCATTAGTTTTTTAGTTCTCTTTAGACACAAGTTGAATTAGTTTTGCATCCAAAAGTAATTCCTTATGATCAAATCTTAAGATAAAAATAGGTTCCTAGGTTGATGTGTCGGTGTGAAAGTGATTGGACTGGTTAACATCAAGCAGAAAATATAGTTAGTCACTGTTTAACACAATTTTCTCTATGTGAAGTCAGAACGGCAGAAACGGCAGAAAATATAGTGTCGGTGTGAAGTCAAAATCAAACAAAAAATATAGTTAGTCACTGCTTAACACAATTTTCTAAAGGCTCACATTGCACATATTTTGCATGCTAGGGCACTAGCAGGTGATGGAAACATTCACATTCTTGGAATAAGTAATTCTGCATACAACACAGTTAGTTATCCACATAGGTACCTACACAAAAATCATATGCACTACTTAATCACAAATAGGGATGATAAAGTATTAACTCTTAGAGAGAAGTGATATGTATGAATGAATTTCCAACCCTTACAACTGCCCCCAAAGGAGTATTTATAGGGAAAATATGGGCTGTGCTCCCAAGTCTTGGGCTTGGGAGACCCATTACAATATAAGGCCTCTATTGGGCTGATTACATTCGAATATATTAACTAAGTATGGAAGTCTGGCTCTGTGAGCTCTCTATGGCCGACGAACGTCTACCTGACGGAGGTGTGGCCGACGAAGGTCTGGCCGATGAACGTCTGGTCGACAGAAACATGGCCGACGGGGCACCCTGGTTCTCCTGGCTTTTGGACCATATGCTGAGTTGATATCTCTTTGGCCGATGGAGGGCCATCTGGTAGACGGTGGACCCATGGGGTGATAGCTGTTCTTCCTCTTAGTCTTCTAAGAATGTGAGGCATGGGGTCTGGAGTCTGGACCCATATACTCTATCAAGGGATGACAATTTAAATCAACCTGTTGGGTACCCATAATGAACCGAACTGGTCTAAACGGGAAAATTGTGTTGACTGGGTAATGGTTACGGGACACGCAGTTATGAACTTACGGTTTTATACCTACCCGATCCATTACCCAACCCGGTAGCCGCCCCGTTTTTATAGGATACAGTTATCCGCACCATTACCAAACCCGTTAAGTTACTTTATGTATTTTCATTTTTAACAGATTATGTAATTGTTATAATTGGGAGTATATATGAATCATATATAAAGCTCCTTCACTCCCAAAACCCTATCTGTCAGTTATCTCAAACTCTGCTCCAAATTTTAGCAACTGTTGCCATCCTTAGTCTTTGTCTCTTTGAGCTTCCGTTGAGCTTTCGTTGATCCCACATTCTTCCTCTCTACTTCAACAAATCTCCTCCCACAATGGGTCTCCCAAGCCCAAGACTTGGGAGCACAACCCATATTTTCCCTATAAATACTCCCTTTGGGGGCAGTTGTAAGGTTGGAAATTCATTCATACATATCACTTCTCTCTCTAGTTCTCCCTTCTCTCTAAGAGTTAATACTTTATCATCCCTATTTGTGATTAAGTAGTGCATATGACTTTTGTGTAGGTACCTATGCCAATGTGGATAACTAACTGTGTCGTATGCAGAATTAACCATTCCAAGAATGTGAATGTTTCCATCACCTGCTAGTGCCCTAGCATGCAAAATATGTGCAATGTGAGCCTTTAGAAAATTGGGTTAAGCAGTGACCAACTATATTTTTTGCTTGATTTTGACTTCACACCGACACTATATTTTCTGCCGTTTCTGCCGTTCTGACTTCACATAGAGAAAATTGTGTTAAAAAATGACTAACTATATTTTCTGCTTGATGTTAACCAGTCCAATCACTTTCACACCGACACATCAACCTAAGAACCTATTTTTATCTTAAGATTTGAGTCCTAAGGAATTATTTTTGGATGCAAAACTAATTCAACTTTTGTTTAAGCGAACTAAAAAGCTAATGACTATTGGAACAATTCAAGTCAACATAAGTCCTAAAACAATTCTCTTTACCCGTTGGCATTAATCCTTCTCAAAACCATTACAGTTGATAACCAATAATCTCTTCATAATCACCCACATTCTCTATACGTGAGATAAATTTGCACATCATGATATAGTACATAACAATAACACACTGTCCATTTTTAGCATCTCGCCTGATTGAACTATAATGTGGCAATATTTAAATCACCGAAGGGCAAGCTAAAACAGCGTAGACAAAGTAGAAAGTAAGAGTGCACATAACATGATAAACTGACACTAAAACTGTTCATCCAAATAAATAAAAAATCATGTACAGGAACATATAAATGACAGGGGATGACCTTACTGAGTTATTGATAGTGGAAATATGTTCTCCACATGATTGCAGAGAACGTTCTTATGATACCTTGCAACCGCCCCCTTGAGCTTCTTTTTAGTGAAAGTATCGGCATCGTACAAAAACAGCTTACTGAATCCTATTACAATTTCTCCTGTTTCAATGGAACCCCATATAGTTGCCATGCTGGACATCGAAAATCTCCACCTTAGATCCCATGTCTGGTTTTGGTCCCATACCCAAAACCTACACTCAGGAGAACACGGCCTTTGATATTTCCACGCCACAAATCCAAGATTATTTGGCCCAACCTCTACTACAGGCGCATGAGTATGAAGTCCATCATCTAGAGGGGGAACTACGATAGTCCCAAACCTCTCATTTTTAACATCAAAATAATGGACATAGCCTTCTGAATTCTGGTAGCTTTTATTGAAATAAATCTTTCCTTCACAGTAAATCGGGCCAGATGATTCAAATGCTCTCTCAGTACGGAACTGTGGTTCATCAACCACAGTTCTCTAGGATGATTGTCTCTCCAAAGTCAACACTTCGCAACCCCTTTTTCCACCAAAGTGAAGTATTTTGTAATTTTGTGAGGAATGGTCGAATCCTAGTGCATATTTATAGCCTTCTTCGATTTTCTCCGACGGCAAGTTTCTTTTCTCCCCTGTGGACAGGTTATACACTATGGTATAACTGTTTTGGTTTTTAGGTTGAAAACAGACCAATCCATTAACCGAGTTAGAGCAAGGCCTGTGAGTCTGAAACAAGGCTTTATTTGCCGGAACTTTAAAATTTAGAAGATTTCTTTCTTGAGCTGCGACAGATACACCGATTAACAGAATCAAAATATAGGAGGCTGCAGGATTAGAAAGAAAATGAGACAAATGTTCTTTTGCGAAACTAGGATCACATATAATGGTCATCCAATCTTTACACACGCTTTTTAATCGCATAAGGTTTTTTGAAGGAAGTGAACTTCCCATATAACGTCTGTGTTGATGCAGTCTGTTTTGAATTTTTTGTTCACCATTTGGAAAGACGACAACAGCTAATCACAATAATAAACGTCACACTACAAGGCAGCCACAAAAATTTAAAAATAAACAAAAAAAATCACAATATAAACAGCAGCTAAAAGTTTAGAAGCATTACCTAAAACTAAAACAAAAATTGGATAGAATGTCTCACGGAATGGTGTCCAGGCTTCGCGTGATGTCGGCGGTCCACGGAATGGTGTCCAGGTTTCGCGTGATGTCGGAGGTCCACGAAATGGTGTCGAGGCTTCGCGTGATGGAGGTCGGAGGATTAGAGCTGCGATCGGCGTGATGGAGGTTGAGGGTTCGCGTGATGAGAGCGACGGGTGATTGCGATCGGTGAAGAGGTGAATAAGCGACTAAAGAGAATAGGCCGGGCTAAATTGGGCTTATTTTTTTTTTTAATATAGGGCCTCTGGACATACCCAGATGTCTTGTTTCACTAGTCCTTTTATTTTTTGAAAAAAATCCTAAATAGGATTAAAACTACTACACAAAGAGAACATTAACGGCTTGTTTACTAATAAAGATATTTTCCTGTTTTATATTTCTGTTTTCTATTCTCAAATTTCCTGTTTTCATTTTCCTGTTTTTCTGTTTCCAATTTTCAATTTTCATTTTTTAGTTTTCCATTTTGAAATCTGAAAATATGTTCATCAACTTTTTTCACCTGGTTCTGTGACCAACCAGAAAACTGAAAGTACGGTACTAATCCGGAACCTAACCTATTACAACCCAAGTAAGGTACCAGGTCCCACGTATAGGAAAGTCGGGATCGAAACTGGTAGGTCCTGATCGATCTCAACGGTTAGTTTGATGAATTCTTTTTTCATTTCTCTATTGGTTGACAATTTAATGACTCTTTTAAAACTCTTCACTTTAAAAGTGATTTCAAACAATAGAGACCGAACCACCGGGTCATTGACCAGTCCGGATAGGAACCGTCAGGTCATTGATGGGACTGGTCTGGGACCGCCCGATTGTCGATCGGAACCGAACACAAATCGTCGGGTCATTGCCGGACATGATAGGAACCAACGGGTCGTTGATCGGATAAGACGGGACTGCTGAGTGGTTGAGCGGACAGGACGGAGACCGCCAGGAAGTTGACTAGACGGGACGGGGGCTGTCGAGTCATTGACCAGAGTCACCAGACCATATCGGACCAAAACTGCCCGATCATTGATCCGACCGAACAAGTACCGTGTGATCGTGGATCAGACCGAACACGGATCATCAGGTCATCGATCGGACCATATAGGGACCGTCGGGTCATGGACCAGAGTGGGATCGTTGAGTCGCCGATCGGACCAGGCAGAGGCCGTCGGGTTGTGGACCGGACCAACAAGGGACTTCCAGGTCGTCGACCAAATCGAACTGGGACCGTCGGGTCGTCGATCGGACCGGACCGGGATTACTACGTCATCGACTGGACTGACAGGGACTGTCGGGTCAATACTGGTCCATCCCTCTGGGTCATTGACCGGACAAGATAGGGACCGTCGGGTCGTTAGCCGGACTGGACTAGAACTGACATCAGAGCGGGACCGTATCCACCACTAGGCGTTGTCCAAATTTTGAAAACTAGTAAAAGTCATTTGTCCAATTCATTAAGGAAAAAAGAGATATATCTTTTTTGTTTTTGTTTTGAAGAACGATTTGGTAAACACATTTCTCTGTTTCTTTTCTCCAGCTTTCTAGCAATTTTCTTTGGTAAACTCTTTTTCTGTTTTCCTTTTCCAGATTTTCAGTTTTTCAGAAAACTGGAAAATATCTCTGTTAGTAAACAGGCCCTAAGTCTCTCAACATGAACATCTCTATAATGTATATTGAAGCCAAAATTTCTCCGAACAGCCTCACACGATAAAACATATCGACAATCATAATACATATTTATTTCATCAATGTCCTTTTTTCAGTATTATATGCAGCTTTTGAAAAGGCAACAATACTACGATCATGACCCTTGTTGATGTACTTAAATAAGTACTTGATTGACTTAGCCTGATTCATTGATGTGTGCACCATATTTCATCAAAAGGTACTTGTTATGTGCTACCACATAACCATTGTGAAGCCCTATGTCATTCTTTATTACTGACCTTCCATTATTCGAGCGTTTGTACAATGCGTAACCATTCTTATCAATTGTAGTACATTCATGGTGCAAGGAGACTTTGGATTTAGATAACCACACGGTCCATGAATCATTAAACCCTTGACAGCACGATAATAGTAAGGTTCAACATTTTCATCCGGGATCTCTGCGGATATGTACGCATCAACTTGTTCTGGTTTCGAGTTCCTAACTTTGTTACTTTTCCACAACAATATATGAGCATGTGGTAACCCACGCTTTTGAAACTCTATCGTATATATCACTAAAAATGAAAGAAAAATTAATTAATTATTTGAAATTACAAAGAATAAAAATTTAAAGATCCAAACAAATTAAGTACCTGCTTTAACTTGACCAAACAATTCATTTTGCTTCAAATCTTTTATTAGCTGGTCGAGTTTAGTCTTGAAAACTCCGCATATGATATCGGGACGGTCTTCTTCTCTTAGGCCCCTCTTTGACATAACGTAAAATTTCTGGCCATCTAGGATTACATGTGATAGTAATAAACAAATCGGGATACCCGACCCATCTACAGATTGCCATAGCGTCTTGGTAGTTTTGCATAGTATTGCGTGCACCTCCGACGAAAGACTCTGGAAGAACTACCCGTTTCCCTAGTTTTGAAAGATCAGTTTCACCATGTGTTACTGCATCCGTAAATCCATTGCACAATTCACACCTTATTTCCTTCTGATGAGTTCGAATATATGTCAAACATGAAGATTCAATCATGGTGTACCATCCACTAAAAACTGTTGAAACAATCGACACGATGACATTATATTAGGGGACTCACTTGCTCTCTCCTATAATCTAAAGCAAAAGAACTCTTTTTGTGTGACATTCCGCTCCCTTACAAAACGTCTTCTTCGTTGTCTGACGGGTTTACATGACGAATTGACATTTAACTTGTGCGTGATGATTTTTGGGTCAATTCCCGTCATGTCTTTATGACTCCAAGCGAATACGTCCTTATGTTGTCTAAGAAACTGAACCAGCTCAGCTCTAAGGCTTGCTGGTAAATTTGTCCCGATGCGGATGACCCGTTCTGGATGTTCGTCGTCGATGACTACTTCTTCCGTTTTTTCGTCATTTTCCTCCAAAGCTGGGTCACCCTTTAGTTGTTATGCTGAAGTCGGAGGATTTGCTGTAGGCTTCATGGCCGTCTGATAGCAAGACTTGGCTACCACCAGGTCTCCTCGAATGGACTCTACTCCCCAAGGCGTCGGAAACTTGATGACCTGGTGATATGTTGACGGAATGGCTCCCATTTGATGTAACCATGGCGTCCCAGAGATCATGTTGTAAGCTGGGAGGTCTTGGACTACATCAAACTTGACCTGCACATTAACACCGTTAGCGTAAACAGGGAGAGAGATATTACCTATGGTTCGGCTTGGCTCTCCATTGAAACCGACGAGGGTGGATCCTGATTTTGTTATGTCATCCTCTTTGATTCCCATCTGCTCCAGCATCCACATGGTAGTTATGTTGGTCGTGCTTCCGTTATCAACAAGGACTCGCTTCACTTCAAAGTTTGCCACTCTAAGGGATATGACCAGAGTGTCATGATGGGGTTGCATAGGATCTGACATATCTGACTCGTCGAAAGCAATGTCAGTGTTTCTCCAGTCGTCACGTCGTCTTTCAACTTGACATACCTGCAATGACTTGTCTCGGGAATACTCCCGAGCGTGTCTCTTGGCAGCAGAATACGTTAGGCCACATAAATCCGACCCGCCATTAATAAAATTAATTACCTGACAGGGGGCCGAAGGCGATGGAGGTCGTGTTGCTTTAGTCGACGACTTGTCAGTTCGTCCTAAAAGGGCTTTAGTCCGTTCTGACACGATTTCTGTCAGAAGATAAGCAACCTCCTTTCGCAATGTGACGCAGTCCTCGGTGTTGTGCCCGATGTCGTTGTCGAAATCGCAATGTTTGCTCGGGTCTCGCTTTCCAACTGGCTTGTCGGTTCTCTTTGGCCATCTGACTTTCTCTCCTAGCTTTTCCAACGAGTTGATGAGCCCCAAAGTACTGACATTGAAGCAATAGTCAAGGATAACTGGAGGTAGATCAGGATCGTCGAGCCAATGTGTCGCTGCCGTAACGGGTCGCTCTTCAGCTTTGGCATACGGTTTGCCAGTTCGGTAGTCATGCCTCCTGGACGTACTGGATTTGCGATGCCCCCCTTCGTAACTGTCAGCATGTGGTTGTGCTCGCAAATCCTCTTCTAACCTGATAAAGGCTAAGGTTATAGCCTGGACGTCTTCGAATGTGCGACAAAGAAACTTTGTCAACTCCCTGTATAACTCAGAATCGTTCTTCAATCCCCTCCTGAATGCCTCGATCGTCGTAGGTATGTCGCATCTTGAGATTGATACCTTTTCCCTATTGAAACGATGAAAGTAATCTCTCAAAGATTCATCGCGTTGTTGGATAATCCGGTATAGGTCGCTCGTTTGCTTCTCCAGGGTGCGGCTGCTTGCAAACTGCTGCGTGAACGAATCGACCAGTTCTGCGAACGAATCGATCCCTTCGTTCGGCAGGTTGACGAACCAGGTCAAGGCTGGTCCTGAGAGCGTCGTTCCAAAACCTCGACACATACACGCTTCCCTCTGGTCCGGAGTGAGTGCTACGGCTAACATGCGCTGTTTGAACTGAGCGACGTGTTCCACTGGGTCTGACGTCCCATCAAACATCTTCATGGCGGGGGCGACAAACTTCCTGGGTATCTCGACGTTGGTGACATGTCTACTGAAGGGAGACTCTGCGTAACATGTCCTAGACGCTCTGTCCAAATGTGGGGGAACACCTGGTAATCCGTTGATTTTATCCTGCATCTGACGCATTTGTTCCATAAACATGGACATCTGATCTTCCATGTCAGAGTGAAGTGGTCCTGGAGAAGAAGACGTCGGTCCTGCCACTTGGATAACTTCAGGACGTCGTTCAGAAAATGTCGATGTTGACGACGTGTCAAATATGCTAAGGCGTTGTGTATGGGGTTCTAAGAATGACACACTATGCCCGCTTCGTCTGGCGTCCTGCATAAAATTTGATGGGGTGGCCTCCCCACCACCCCGATCTCCGTAATTAGGGATTGATGGCCCCACAGGGGCAGAAGACACACCAGTTGACGGGTTGGAGTTGGAGGGGCCGGGATCTCCGCTTGTTCTGCTTCTGTATTGGGGAATCGACGGTTCCGTTGGAGTGTTGTACGGAGTCGTCATAGGTATGCTTTGAGTTTCCGCATGCAAGCCTAACCCGTTCGGCCTGACCCGAAGAGATTCCGTGAAAAAGCAGACCGGTATATTCGCCAGTGGTGTCGTCGCTGGAACGAGTGGCGTGTACGGGATGACCTGCGAGATGACCGCCGAGTATGGTTCTCCAGTCGGCGTTGGCGACAGACCCAACGTAAGAGATACTGGATCTGTCGACGCCGCGGGTGGAGTCGTCGATGGTGGGGAGACGCTGAGATCCAACCTTGTGGCAGCATTCATGAGGTCAGACCTCCGGTTGGGCCTTGAATTCGATGCTATTGACACTGCGGATTGTACCTGGGACCGAAGTACATCATTCTCCCGCTGAAGAAGGGCCATCCTCTCCGCCATCTCACGCCGAATCTCTTCTCGGACCGTCTCCAATTGTTGATGGAATTCAATCAACAGCTGATTTGTTCCTTCCATGTTTGAACTCTTTCTTGCACGAGGCCCCACGGTGGGCGCCAAATTGTTTATGCCGTAAATAGATAACTTCCTCTAACAATTAAAATAAGGATCTGGGACTCGTGCAAAAGACTATGATATGAACTATTAATGCTTCTAGATTGATAATCGAAACAATAATGAGAGATGAAAGTGCTTTTGAAATTCGGAAGTGATAACTAGTAGTAAAGTTGATCGGAATGAATGCTCTTGCTTTACAAGTGATCTATTTAAACTAATTGGCTCCTCCTATCCTTTAGCCAATTGCCCACCCTATTCACATGGCCTTTTGAACGTGCACCACCGTTTTCTTCTTTTCCAAGCTCCAAGTCGTGCTTATCACGATCTAGTCTTCCGCCTCTATCTTAAGTTGGACTTATTCCACACTTCTGGGCTTGAACCTTCCCATTATTCTTCAACTTGGTTGCGCTTATTAGACGGAAATTTCCCGGCCCAACATGGAGTGAAATTCTTCGTGAAAGTCCGTAAGAACAAAAGAGAAGAGAAAGCAGAGAAGAAAAATTATCTTGCTAAAGCGCCGTTAGATGAAAGAACATGGAGCGGACCTTGGTGCTGCGTGGGAGATATCTTCTCATAGTGCCTTTAAGTATAATATATATATATATATATATATATATATATATATATATATATATATATATATATATATCTACATCTCTATAAGCATGAATAATGTTAAGGGTGTAATGGGAATGTAAAAAATGTTGGTGTCTCTTTATGCATTAAGAACTTGTACTTCATGCATAGTTTCTCTCTAATCTAAAATGATACTTTGAACGTTAGCTAACTTCCGTTTAAGCACCAATAGATTTATTTTTTATTTCAATTCAATTAATGCTATTTAACCTTCCATTTACTCATGGGGTTGGGACTGAACCACCGTTTGAAAGCTCAAGCGTGATTTTTCAATACTACGTATCTTTTGCTCTTTTAATCACAATCTCTTCTAATTTTTATTTAACTATATTTGCGCACAATCTTGTAGCTTTAATTTAGAAGTAAATATTATCTTCATAGATTGCCAACGTCACTTTGCTTTGTTCTAATTTCTTCTTTGATGTAATTTCCTATTGATAGTTTTGATATCAATCATGAAAGCATATATCTGTCATGTAGTTTCTGTGTTTAAGAATGTTAGACAATTGATTTTTTCATTTGTTTTAATTTTGATTGCTAGATGTTTGCATAAATGCTCATTTGAAGAAAACAAACGTTGAAGAAAACATACGTAGTATTTCAATGTTGTTGGCTTTTTGCCATAATATTGAAGGATTAGTTAGGATGTTTTTGTTGATCTGGTCTGGTCTATTTTAGTCCGGTCTGGACTGATAAATGTATGTTCTCTGCGTATTTCACATAACGATGGAAGTCTGGTTTGGTCTGGTCTGTGACTGAAAACGGTCCAAACTAAGGAAAAACACCTTATTATGTTTAGGAATGTTGGACAATTGATTTTTCCATTTGTTGTAATTTTGATTGCTAGATGTTTGCATTAATGCTCATTTGAAGAAAACATACGTATTATTTCAATGTTGTCGGCATTTTCCCATAATATTGAAGGATTACTTAGGATGTTTTTGCTGGTCTAGTCGATCTATTTTAGTCTGGTCTGGACTGATAAATGTATGCTCTCTGCGTATTTCACATAATGATGGAAGGCTGGTTTGGTCTGGTTTGTGACTGAAAACGGTCCAAACTAATGAAAAACATCCTTATTATGTTTAGGCCACCCGACTTAATGTGTAACACTTTTGTAATTACTAGGTTGCCCCTTGGGTATTACTCTGTATTATTCTAAAAAATCTATGTTAATTACGAAATCAGGCCGGGAGGCGACCCGGATGTGGGATGCGTGACTGGGTCACGGGTCGACCCGAACCCTGTCGGGTCAACGCGGTCAATGTCATAAAACCGGTCAACCATACAATAATAATAATAATAATAATATATTTGTATACACAAATTTAAATAAAAGTAGTTATTTCATAATGATCAACTAATGATAATACTTACTAAACATTTAAAAGTTAAAACAGCCTCATAAAATTCCAAAATACCATTTTGATCTTATTGAAATATATAATGATACTTCGTATTTGTTATAGTCAAATCCTCCTTATTGATAAATAATTCAATTTTCAATAATTAAAATTTACATGTTTAGAAACTACATTAAAATCTCTTCAAAGTCACAAATTAATAATTAGAATATAACAAAAAATTTGACATCCTAATTAAGTGAAAAAATGAAACTTTTTGATCAAGAAAAACCAATTTTGCAAATCAATTTGAGACAAAGGTAGGATATAATTTGACATGATATTTATTTTTAAGCAAATAAGTATTGTCTAAATATATGGCATATTTTTTCTTTTTGAGCATTGAAATTGGAATTTCATCGGTTAAAAATGTATTAAAATGAATTACTTCTTTAAAAAAAAACAACCAAAATCAAGTCTTCTAGGTTTGTCAGGTTTAGGTGTGGACCGGGTTTTTCCGGGTCGTCTGAGTTTTCCCGATTTTAATCACTTCCGGGTTTTTAACTAATCAAACTAGTTTTCGAAACGGAAACGTACTCTTCCCAAGAGTTTTCGTGAAACAGGAAACGTCAACTTTTGGTCAAAAAACGCTTGTTTGAAGAGTTTTCATAGAGTTTCCGAAATGGAAACTTACACTTCCCGAGAGTTTTCGTGCTACATAGCTCATGGTAGGTTGTGAAAATGAAAAGCACTGGTTCGTATTAGATTTTCACCTGTAAATTTGGGATTGTGGAGAAAAACATACAGAAATTGTATAAAATAATTCAAATAATAAGAGAAATAATTTATTTATAAGTATTTATGTCGCTACGTTTCATGTCCCATGTGCACCGTGTACATTGTAGCATTGGAGATACTCCATAAAGTATATGGAGTATTGTTTTGGATGAAAAAAATTGCCTATAATTGTTCTTAACATCATATCATATAATAATATGTTTCATTGGGCATTTGCACGAACGCGCATGGCGCGTTTATTAACTAGTATATACAAGAATGATCAGGTCCCCACGTTCGGACAGGACCCTCCGTCCGAACATCCCCGTTTGGGGTCATTTCGGGTGGAATTTTTTGATGAAATTTTTTGAGCATGTTTCTAATCAAGTCTAGTTTGTCCATACCAAATTTCAGCTCAAAATTCGATCGGGAAGGCATTCAAATCATTTTTTGAAGTTGACTGTGTATATTTTGACGCAGTCAACTTCAAAAAATGTTTTGAATGCCTTCCCGATCGAATTTTGAGCTGAAATTTGGTATGAACAAACTAGACTTGATGAGGAACATGCTCAAAAAATTTCATCAAAAAATTCCACCGGGAAGTTGCCCAAACGCCCATGTTCGGACGGTGCTCGGACGGGGAATGTTCGGACGTGAACATTCTTCTATATATATATATATATATATATATATATATATATATATAGAGTACTCTTCCGGTCAGGAATTCCTGACCGGAACCGCCGTCCGGACGGCGGCGTTTGGCCGCCTTCCGGGTGGAATTTTTCAATGAAATTTTTATGACATGTTCTCCATCAAGTCTAGTTTATCCACAAAAAAAATCAGCCAAAAACTCATTCGGGAAGGTCGTCAAATGATTTTTGCAAGTTAACTGGTCCGGAAAATACATATTCCGGACCAGTTAACTTGCAAAAATCATTTGACGACCTTCCCGATTGAGTTTTTGGCTGAATTTTTTTGTGGATAAACTAGACTTGATGGAGAACATTCCATAAAAATTTCATCAAAAAATTCCACCGGGAAGGCGGCCAAACGCCGCCGTCCGGACGGCGGTTCCTGTCCGGAATTCCGGACATGAACTTTTGTCTATATATATATATATATATATAGAGGAATGTTCATGTCAGGCCGGCCTGACGGGCTGCCCCGTCCGGCCGAGCCCGTTTGGGCACCTTCCCGGTGGAATTTTTTGATGAAATTTTTTGAGCATGTTCCTCATCAAGTCTAGTTTGTCCATACCAAATTTCAGCTCAAAATTCGATTGGGAAGGTCGTCAAATGATTTTTGCAATTTAACTGGTCCGGAATATGTATTTTCCAGACCAGTTAACTTGCAAAAATCATTTGACGACCTTCCCGATTGAATTTTGAGCTGAAATTTGGTATGGACAAACTAGACTTGACGAGGAACATGCTCAAAAAATTTCATCAAAAAATTCCACCGGGAAGGTGCCCAAACGGGCTCGGCCGGACGGGGCAGCCCGTCAGGCCGGCCTGACATGAAGAGCACTCTATATATATATATATATATATATATATATATATATATATAGAGTCCCGTTCTTGTCCAGCCGGCCTGACGGGATGCCCCGTCCGGCCGAGGGCATTTCGGGCACTTCCCGGTGGAATTTTTTGATGAAATTTTTTGAGCATGTTCTTCATGAAGTCTAGTTTATCCATACCAAATTTCAGCTAAAAATTCAATCGGGAAGGCACTCAAATAATTTCTTGAAGTTAACTGGGCAGTTTATATGTATGAACTGCCCAGTTAACTTCAAGAAATTATTTGAGTGCCTTCCCGATCATATTTTGAGCTGAAATTTGGTATGGATAAACTAGACTTCATGAAGAACATGCTCAAAAAATTTCATCAAAAAATTCCACCGGGAAGTGCCCGAAATGCCCTCGGCCGGACGGCGGTTCCCGTCAGGCCGGCTGGACATGAAAAGTCCTCTATATATATATATATATATATATATATATATATATATATATATATATATATATAAAGATTTGTGAAAAATTCCCAAAATATTTTGGGCCAACATGTTGATGCGTTCTTAGCCCATTTGGAGGTCCTGTAACCTGTTTGTGCAGTAGGAAAGCCGACAGAAATCGGAGGAGACGCCATGGATGAACGACGGCATCGTAAGAGGAAGAGAGAGAAGCAACGCCATAAACCCGTTGCCTCTTCTCCTTCGTCCACTAACTCCGCTTGTCATGTTTCTTCTGCCGATAAGCTCAAACCCGTTATTTCATCTTCCGCTTCGGCCTCCCTGAACAAAACAATCTCTAAACCCAGCAAGAATTCATCTTTTATCGATAAGGTCCCCTCTGAATGCAAACATTTATTAATATCTTCCTGTATTATAAATGGATAAATTGCTTAATCTTCTTATGGGTATACAGATGAGGGCGAGATTGGCAGGGGGACACTTCCGCATGATAAACGAGAAGCTTTACACTTGCTCGTAAGCTTTCTCTATCATGTAACTTGTTATTGTTCATGTAATAGCATAGTAGCTTTATAGCTTATAGTTCAATTTTTCTCTTGAAATTATCTGATAAAAGTTTAGTTTTTGTGTTTATTTAATTCAGAGGAGACGCGGCACTGAACTATTTCAAAGAAGACCCACAGTTATTTAGTGTGGTGAGATTACTGCCTTTATTGGATCACAGGCTGTGTTTGGTTCTAGTAATGGAAGGGTGTGTTTTTTTGTTAGCTTGTTTGGTCCTGGATTGGGAGGGAATGGAATTGATTTTCAGCTTTTCATCCATAAAAGTCTGAGGCTCTACTATGGAGGGGAGAGTTTTGGGGGGGTTGGTCCATATCATGATATTTGAGATTTATAAATATTGAAAGATCAACATAAATACATAATGAGTGATCAATATGATTTCAATCACTTTTTTTGGAAACATAATACGAAGTATTAAGTTATAAACTAAACCCTCAGAACCCTTCCAAAAAAATTCTTCAAGACAGACTCTAAATTGGAAGGGGAGGGGCGGGACAACTTAAACAATAAGCACCCTTCAAAAAAATAATGGATGAGGGTAGTATACCGCCCACCCTCCAATAACCCCTCCAAAGAAACTCTTAGGGTATATCTTGGAGTTTGGGAAGCGGAGGGAAGACTTTGAAGGTTAGCCATAGGGGATAAGGGGAGTGGAAGTGAAGGAAACCATTCTTTTTGTTTGGGAGTTACAAATTTGAAAAGAGAGAGTCTATAGAGGAAGTATAATTAAAATAGTTCAAGAGATATAGCGAATTCAAATAGTTGAACATGTATTCATTTTAAATTGGCCTAAAATTATCATTTAATTAGTTATCTTTCAAAAAACTTCAATTTTGGGTACTTAAAAGTTGAGCATTTGAATGAAGGGTTTTAGATTGTTACAAGAACCCTCCGAGAAACCATCCCTTCCAATAATTTTGAACTCCCAAACAAGAAAGGGAGTGTCACAAATCCTCCTCATCCTTCACCTCCCCTCCAAAATCTAACTCCTAGAGATAACCTTAAATATCCCTATAAAGTAGTAAGGGAGTGAATCTAAACATACAAAAATGATGTTATGGTATCCGAAGCCATTAATTAGCATCATCATTGTGTCCGATAATCAATATGTTATTGCATGTTTTATTTTCAATTGTTAATGGAGGAAATATTCAGAAGCAAAGTAGCAATGGCTGTGCTTTGTTTGGTTGTGGTTTGCTATTTTCATTTGATGCCAGTCTTCCTATCAGAAGCATTTTTCTTTTAATTTAAAATTGGGTATCCAATTGATTTTTCTAGTTAACATATACCTGGCCAGTATCATGCAGGGTACCAAGAGCAGATGTCACATTGGCCTGAACAGCCAGTTAATATTATTATAAAGTGGCTCAAAGATCATGACCCTTCATTAGTAGTAGCTGATTTTGGCTGTGGTATGTGAACTCAGAAGATAATTGGTCCTATACCTTGTTGGTATCCATATGCATTAATGCATTCTGTATTACTGTAATAATAGCTCTGTGTGCGACTGTGTGTGGCTTTTTCTACTGCAAACGCTACTGATTTATGTATGATTTTCAGGAGACGCGCGACTCTCAAGAAATGTAAAGAACAAAGTTTTGTCTATTGACCTTGTATCAAATGATCCTTCAGTTATAGCATGTGATATGTCAAATGTATGTAACTTTCTCTATATAAATCTCAAGACATATTATACTCCGTGATTTGAAATTTGCCATTAAAAAAATATCCCTTATTATCTGTCTACAGACTCCTCTAGATTCCTCCTCTGTGGATATTGCTGTCTTTTGCCTTTCTTTGATGGGAGTTAACTATCCAAGCTATCTTCAAGAAGCTAATCGAGTTCTTAAGCCCCGGTATGCTGTGTGTTCATGATATCTTGAGATGTATTGTGATTTTATAGTTGTGTAACTATTATTTGACTCTATCTCTCTATGCAGTGGGTGGCTCTTAATAGCTGAGGTCAAGAGCAGGCTTGATCCAAATACCGGGGGAGCTGACCCTGGGAAGTTTATAAAAGCCGTATGTGAACTTGGATATGCTCCTGTTCTAAAGGTTTGTGGTTTTTGACGTTTGAGTTGTTCTTATTAAGTGTCTCATATATATGTTTTTTCGGTTTTAAATTTAATGCTCAATATATAAGTATGAGAAAAAATTCACCTATTGGGAATCTTTTTGGGCGAATTAAGCACATTTCAATACGGTATCAAGCTTTGGTTTGGTAATGGATTGTTTGTTTTTGGTGTTGGTTTGGTCTATTTGTATGTGCCTTGAACTGTCATGTCCGATTTGGGTTGAAAGGGTGTGTTAAATACTTAAATGTCCCACTATAGATGTTTTCCGGGTTTGAGTCTAACCTAGTACTACGTATATAAGTGTGGGATAAACCTTAATTGATGATGATCCTTTTAGAGTGAGTTAGGTCCAATTTAACAGTCCATGCTCTAAATGGTACGGAGTACTTTGTGATATAGATTTTCATTTTTTATGTTGGGCATGCAGGATTTCTCCAATAAGATGTTTGCACTCTTCTACTTTAAGAAGAAAAAGGTGATTGCAATTTGTACTATTGATGATTTGATAATTACTGTGCTCTATTCTTGGAGGTCTCACAGATGTTTGTCTTGTGGACTTTCCTACTTGGTAAATGTTAGTGGCTTTAACTAGTTGGCTGCTTTGCTTATTTATTGCAGGATAATAATAAAAAGAATATGCAGCGAAGAGATATTGATTGGCCCGAACTCAAAGCTTGCGTATACAAACGACGCTGAGTTGTTGATGTCCCGAGCAGTGAAAACTGAAACAGGGGGAACACACTTTGCTGTGTATTCAACACACTTTTCATTAACACTGATTTCCCGTGTATTTCTGGTATTTTGAATATTGTTGAAGGGGACACACTTTGCTATGCATTGAAGCCATGCATCTCTTAGTTGGGGTGAATAGAGTAAATTTGCATGCGCAAATAACCAGTGGTTGTCACATAAATTTAACTTCCTTCTCGGTTCCAAATTGATGATTATAGTTTGATTCTTTAAGTCGAACTTTTAAATTTAATCGTTCATTATATTGTATATTTCCTATATATGAAATTATTATAGTTTCTATTCATATATAACTGGATGCAGTAATAATCAAACATGGATGTTAAAGCCGGGCATTAGTCCTTGAAATCTTGAATGAATCGACCTTATTTTTATTACTCCATCTTATTCCAAGGGTGAGAACAGTAGTGAACTTCACATGAACAAAATTGATGCTGAGCAAAAAAATTGGTCAATGCCTTTTTTTTGTTCTAGGGGTCTGCCATGGACTTCTGAAGACTGATATTAAAAGTGCCTGAGTTTGGCAATGTTGTCGGGGTTGCTCCATTATTGAACATGTGCTGCTTGATTCATAGTTTTTTTTCATGCTCGAGGCTGAGTGATACGTTTATATATTTCTAGTATTTCTATGTTGGGGCTGAAATCTAATGGAGGAAAAAACAGGGTTGATGTTCGACTTGGCACATTTATTTATTACGTTTTTATTTTCATTCTCAGACAATGTCGATTTTTTTTTTTGAAACATCAGACAATGTCGATTTATTCTTGATTTCTTTTTGTTTTTCTCAGCCATGGAATTAGTCGGTGTTTTACTTCGATTGTTTGTTGAAGACAAGTGGTGGATGTAATGAGAGATGTTCTTCCTTTTGGTCATTATTATAGATTATAGACTTCAAGTTGTCCATTCAGTAGTTGGCAAATTATTGTATTTTCAAGTGTGAACCATCCTATATCTAATCTTAGACGGTTGATCGAATTGGAGCTTTGTCTAATGGATGGTTTACGAGTTCTTTATATATCTTTATAAGTTTTATCCATTAAAAAATATATTATAATTACTCAAATAGGAATTTCATTTTTGAATCCTAGACAATAATTATTTGCTCGTATTTTGGTATACTGGGTGGTTCTATTTCTTCTAATAAAGCTGGATAAATCCGATTTTATGAAATTCACATTAGCTTTCCATCTAATTAAGATAGACGCATACTATTTGACTTTGCACCCTATGTTTTGGGTGATATTTGAATTTGCACCCTATTTTCAAAATCATTAATGTATGCACCTCAATTCACTATAAGATCATTTGACTTTGCACCCCACTCTTACACAATTTTTGGGCTAATGGGGTGCATACATTAATGATTTTAAAAATAGAGTGCAAAATCAAATATCATCCAAAACATGGAGGGTGCAAACTCAAATTCTCCCAAAAGAATACCCTTACTCAAGTATATATTGATAACAAGACTAGACGCGAAGTAGACGGCGTGGTGGGGAGAGCTGCTTTGACGCCGCCGTGACACGATAAATCGGAGGCGGGGGTGGAAAATGAATTTGGCGGCATGAGGGGTTGGGCATGGGAGATGGTAACCGTACTCCGCCTGCTCTTAACGATTCTTCATATTCATAATTCAATGAATATCAGGGGTCTAATATCAAAATTACTCAAGAAGTGAAGGACCCAAATAGCAATTAGTTATTTCTGTTATTCTTAAATTGTATATAGGTTATCCTGATGTATTTTTTCTACCTACCGAAACTATTCATTCTTCTTCTCCAACTCAATTCAAACTATTCACATATTCTCTTTTTCATTTGTTGGTGAAATTTCATTCTTCAAGTAGATGCAATTTCGTACGCAGTACCGAGTTGGGTCACAGACATGACCAATTACCTGAAGGACGGGTTGCTTCCAACTGATAAGAATGATGTGTACAACTTGACCAAGATTGAAAGGAAGGCACCGATGTTCGAACTGGTGGATGGGCAGCAGCTATATAAAAAGACGTTCGGGGGCCCTTACTTAAAATGCCTCCCGCCCAGTCTGGCAGCTGCTGTGATGGAGGAAATACACGAAGGAATATGTTCTAGCCATCAGGGGCCAAAAACACTGGCCAGGAAGATCATTGCAGGGATACTACTGGCCGACCATCCAGCAGGACTGTTTTGCGCACACCAGGAAATGCAAGGTGTGTTAGCTATACGCTCCAGTTCCCGGCGGCATGCAACCTCTTACACCCCAATGACCATTGCATTACCGTTCGCCAGGTGGCGGATCGACTTGCTAGGGCCCCTACCTACTGCTTCGGGAGGAAGGAAGTACATCATTGTGGGAATTGATTACTTCACCAAATGGTGGAAGTCGAACCACTGGCCAGCATCACAGATTTCCAATGCCAAAGATTTATTTGGCAGAATATTATTTGCAGGTTTGGGCTTCCCGATCAGGTCGTCACGAACAACAGAAGGCAATTCATGAGTAAAAACTTTGAGGATTACCTGGTCAAATGGGGGATCAAACATTCTAGGGCATGTGTGGCCTACCCTCAGGCGAACGGTCAGGTGGAGAACATGAACAGAACCATCATGGATGGCATAAAAAAGAAGTTAGAAGACTATGCCTCCACCTGGCCCGAACAGCTGAATTACATCCCGTGGACCTACCGTACTACACCCCGAACGGCCACCGGGGAGACGCCATTTGCCCTGGCCTATGGATTCCAGGCCAAGGTACCAACCGAAGTCTTGGTACCCACACACCGGACGATCCATTATGATCCTGAACGAAACGAGGACAACTTGCGTGCTGAACTCCATTTCATAGAAGAAAGAAGGGACCTTGCAGCCCTAAGAATGTAGGAATACCACCGAGCAACCAAGAGATACTTTGATAAACAAGTCAAAATCCGTTCAATCCAAGTAGGATACTTGGTCTTGGGGAAAAGAGCAAACCACTGGAAGGTGGAAAAGAAGTACTTCCTTCCGCCTTCAGACTACCGAGGGCCGATCGGCAGGAGCATGGAATGTTGAACACCTAAGGAAGTTTTATCAATAAAAACGGCTGTTGCCACCTCTTGAAAAAAAATGTACATGAGATACATAAAGAGGGAGAAATTGACTTCCCCACATAAGGCTAGAAGTTGGATAACCAGGTCAGAAAGACCGAACGGCAATATCACAACCATGGCCAGAAGCCTCACCTCGATCAAGATCTGTTGGCAATCATTCTGGATGATCGAATGAAAACCACCATCTTAATCTGGAGGGAGCCTCCATTTCAGCTTCGACTTGGCCTTGTGCTCCGGATGACCGAGCAGGGGATCCAAGCCAGTTTAGGAGATGGTGTAAAACCTCGAGTAAGGCGAACCGGGCGGCATTCGGTGATACGGGTGACTAAGCGGGGAGTCAGGACTCTAGTTTTTAAACCATGCCTCAGTCTATAGCTTTGACGAACCACGACGAAGGGAAATCGTTATGGTGGAATCCGAGCTGTAACTTGGAGGTGAGTCTCCATTTTAGCTTGAAATACAAGAGATGACCCCTACAGGAGATCTTGTGTTTAGTTTGAAAATGGACATCTCAAACCTCTAATATGGATGTCCCGGAATGGTAGAACCGAACGGGCGCACCGGAATTATGGGCTTGGAAGATGGTGGGCATTAAATCTTGCCTTAGTCTATTGCTTTGACGAACCACGACGAAGGGAAATCGTTATGGTAGAATCCGAGCTGTAACTTGGAGGCAAGTCTCCATTTTTAGCTTGAAATACAAGAAATGACCCGTACAGGGGATCTTGTATTTAGTTTGAAAATGGACATCTCAAACCCCTAATATGGATGTTCCGGAACGGCAGAACCGAACGGGTGCATCGGAATTACGGGTTTGGAAGATGACAGGCATTATCTAAGTAATTCACCAAAGCTTATTTAATGATCTGCACGATCGGGGAATCAATCTCGAACAAACAAGGTATCTTTATTCTTCGGCACTACCGACCGGAAAATACAAAAGAATGAAAGAATGATGAATGAAACAAAGTAAATAACTATGCTACTGGAGGATCCTTGTTCGAGGAGGCGCCAGATTTGGAGTTTGAAGGTTCGGTAGAATCCTTGGCCTTCTGCCTCTTCTGCATTACCCGCTTGTAAGCACGACACAACAGCACGTTGAAGTCTTCCTCTTCGGGATCAAACGGCTTAGGAAAGTGTTCCTTGATCACCTCAAGGTTTCGATCGACCAACATGTCCTGGCACTTAATGAGTGTATCCTTGGCTAAAGCATTGACAAAGGCTGTCCCAGCGGGTGTCTCGTCCAGAAGCTTGAGGCCATCAGTCACTGGATCCTAGCACTTCTCTAGGAACTCGCCAAGATGCTTGCCAAGGAACTCCCGAGCGGTATTGGCCAGAGCGATGTTCAGGCCCTTCCCCCTCTGAAAATCTATCACCGCCTGTTTGGTGATCTTGGAAGCATCAGCCGTGTAAGGAGCGGGAGGATTCTCGCCTTTGGCCTTCTCAATTTTTAGGCCAGCGGCTTCAGCAGCTTTCACCTTGGCACGAAGTTCACGGATCTCCCGATCGCGCCGTTGAATCCGCTTCTCCATTTCGGCCAGTTCAGCCCTGGCCTTATCTCCTTTGTTGGCCCGATCCTGAAGATCTGCAGCCATCTTGCGAGCGGCGGCCAAAAGAGTTTGGCTTTCATCCTGCTCTTGGGCGAGGAATGTCATCTCCCGCTCAGCCGCCAGGAAGACCCGGTGATAATATGTACCAGCCTGAAAAATGAAGAAACACATTAAGAACAAGTCCAAAAAAGGGGTAATGTTAAAAAACCCAACAGTAATAACATACCTTGATACTCTCCAAGTGGCCTGATTCAACCATATCAGACCAGTGGGCTAGGTTGGTGAAGTTCTCACCAGCCTTGAGGGAAGTGCTGCACCACATAGAAGATGCAGTCTGCCCAAACAGCGTGCGTCCCTCAGCCTGAGGACCCATGGCGGAAAAGTCCACCACCAGCCGATCGTTGATCGGGATGTTCCTAGGGACAGAATCATCCTTTTGAGGAGAGGAGGGAGCAGCTTGCGTAGGGTCCAGATCAGGGACGGTCAAGTCGATAACATGATCGATCGGGACCAACTGACCGCCGCTTTCAGTCCTGGGACGTTTTCTGGATTGATGAGCAGCATTGCCGGCGAACCTTGCTGAGTAGCCAGCTTCCCAGCAATAATAATATTCCCCATTCCCCTTATCCGCGGGGATAGTTGATGGGGGAGTGGGAGCGGGGCGCTTGGTGGAGATGGAAGGAATTACACCTGCGGAAAAAAGATAAAAGAATATCAGCAACAGAAAAAAAATGACCGAACGGCAAAAAGAATATTTGGGGAAATTTACCGATGCCAGCGACTGAGAGGTTGGCAGGCGTAAGGTAGGAACGGAGGTTCTTCGTGCCCGCCAGATGAAACCTGTCATGCTGACATTGCAGGGTGGCATTCAGGGCAGGGCATATGTCTTGAACCGGGTAAGTGTTCCACCGATCAGGGAACGGGAGGGGTTCCTCCACCTGCACAAAGAGAAACTACTCCTCCCACTTCTCAGGGGCGGACGGGTTCTCTGTGAACAGTTGACGGAAGGGCCGAGCAACCAACAGCAGATACCGTGTGGTCCAGTAGGGCTGGTAGCTGTAATGATACAGGAACAGATCAACATTCGGGGTGAGGCCCATGTCATGACAATATACGATGTACTCGGTCAGGATCCTATAGGTGCTAGGCACGAACTGTATAAGCAGCACCGAGACCCGGCGCAAGAACTCAACAATGAAGGGATGCATGGGGAACCGAAGACCAGCAACCAGTGCATCCATTTGCACCAGTACGCATCCCAGTCGGTGCCTCATAGGATGTTTGATGAAGCCTGCATAAAACTCGCGGGGGGAGGCAACAATTGGCGGAGCGACTGTTTGGCATCCGCAGGAAGGCGCTGACGCTGCTTCCTAATACAATGAAAGTTTAAACTATAACGAGGGGGCCATTCAGGCATCCCCCTCTCGTAGATGACTAAGTCATCACCGAATATGCACCCATCTCTGAATCTGAAGAGCTGAGGAAAGCGAACATAAACCAGCGAAAGAAAAAGAATTCTAGAAAGAGTAAGCTTGAGGGATATCTGAGAATAAAGCAGCAGAAAAATTCAAAAGGAAGCAGCTGCATCATTATATAGGGAAAAGTTGCCGCCAAGAGTCCAAATCAATCATGGACACGTGTCACAAACAGTTGAGGAAAGTTAAAGAATCACTAGGGGCAGAACAACCCGAACAGGATCCAAGTCAGCGAATGGGGCCATAAGCCACAACAAAGGAATGGCGTTACAAACACTTGTCCCGAACGAGGGATTATGTTACAAACCTTGTTGAGTGGGCATAATGCAACCCCAGATCCCGGGCAGGAACTCCTGGTATTATCCTGATTCGCATCTCTCCCAAACGCGCCTAACCGGAGCCAGTAAGCTTGATAAGTCTTAACCTGGGCTTACCCGGACGGGCATAACCGAAAACAATAAAATGCAAGAGTGTGTGGGTCAAAATGATTCCAAGAAACGACTAAGTCCCGAATATTGGGCTGAAGCCAAAGTAAGTTACATGCACGAATGGACGGAAGGAACCAGAAAAATAACTAAGTCCTAAATGTTTGGGCTTATGCCTGGAGGATATTACATGCCCGAACGGACAGAAGGAATCAGAACAGGCAACTCGATCGCTACAGCCGAACAAAATACATTGGATCGGGAGAGTGGAGATCAACGAAATAACTAAGTCCAAAAAAAAAAAATAACACAATAAGAAAGGAACTACAAGTCAAGTTGATAGGCAAAATTTCGTTGTATTCATCGGCTCTATTGGCCGGAAATTACAAAAAACACTTATAAAATTAGGAAATGAAAGTACAGAGGAATGATGAGATCTATTCTATTGTTCGGGGTCATCTTCCCCCTCGTCATTCTCATCATCATCTTCAGCCTCTTCAACATCCTGAACAGCTTGCACGGTCTCCATCCCCAATGCGCGTCTGCACTTGTCGAGTTGGGCCTTTAGAGCATTAAGATGACCAGGGTGCAAATCGGGGAAATCGGATGGCTGCACCGGTCGGCCGAGAAGTTTCCCTAGGAGGGGAAGGAGCGGCTGCAACATGTGTTGGCACCCGGAACCATAGACCTCCCGAGCGAGTGTGTCAGCCCATCCTTTGGCCACCGGGTGCTGGTCTAGCATCCTGACCCCCTCCTTCTAGCGCTCTTCACCGTTCAGCTTGGCCAGATGCCGCCCGATGACAACAGGAAGCTGTTCGAGAGCATATTCTTCCTTCAGAGCCAGGAACTCCTCAGATTCCTTGAAGCTCTCCCGAATAGTCGAAAGATCCACAATCACCTCAGGTGGACCATCCGGGATTTGAGAAGAGGCCTCAGAGAATTTCACCTGAGCAGCCTTGGCAGCCGCCATATGGGCCTGGAGGGAAGCCACCTTAACGCGGAGCTCCCCGAGCTCGCTCTCGAGCATCTTCCGACTCTCAGCAGCTGCCTGCCGATCGGTCTCGGCGGTCTGAACAACTGAGGAGAGGGCATGTTCAGCATCCTCCCTCGCCACGATCAGACCTCGCTCCTTGGCTAGCCGAGCCTCGCGGAGCTGTAAACTGTATATCCCCATCTGCACATAGGGTTAACAATAATGATGAGGCGAACGCGCAAATAGAGAAGAGAATATGACAGAGACTGAGATGAAAAAATACCTTCAGGGCAGTCAAAGCTACACACTCCTCGGTTTTCTGGACTGGGAGATTGGGGAGGGTGAATCCATTCAGGAAAGCAGCGGCGGACCAAATTCGGCTTGCTGAACAGCCCCCCGCTCCAACATATCATGAGCAGGATCTTGGAGGGAGATATGCTCGAACTGCCTGGCAAGGTCCGACTGATGGGCATCCATATCGTCACCAGGGAACTGATGAGATTGTTGATCGGAGAAAAGATGGTCCATTAGCATATCGGCATGAGAGGGTGGCTGTTCAGGAGAAACCTGCTGGACAGGCTCGACTTCCTGAGCAGGCTCAGGCTGCTTATCATTTTTGGGGGCAGCTTGGGAAAAGCCTGCCTGATCGGCCTTCTTCACCCTCTTCCTTTTGTTCGTTTTCTTTTTTTGAACGGGAGGGGAGGCTTCTGGTTCATCATCAACCCCGACCGAGAATAGCCTACTGTCATCCATAGCCTGCTGTTGGGGATGGGCTTGTTTGGATTCCGAAGTTGCATCTGGATTGGGAGCTGAAAATAAACAAAGGGAAAAGTTAGTACCGAGCGGTTCACACGTGGATGAACAAAATGTTTTCTCACACGGGAAGGACCGCCCGGGCCATGGCACTTGGTTTTCGGTCAAGTAGATCCAGGAATATGGGTAGTACCTATCCCGTCCCTCATAAGCCGTTCGGGGGTCAGGTAGGCCCTGATTTTGTAGCAACCCCCGGCCTCCACAGCGATGACATCCTTGCTGAGATCCTCGGAGATGAACGATTCAGGGGACTTCGGCGGAAAGGGGTTCCATTTCTTGGGGATCAGACCGTCCGGGACAGAGACGAAAACGAATCTATCTTTCCATCCCTTGATCGAAGAAGGGGCATAAGAGAATAAGATATGCCCCGATCGGGCACTTACAACTAAGTAACCCTGGGCCTATTGAGGAATTACTGAAAAAAAGTAGTGGAAGAGGTCTAGATTGGGCGTGACTTTAACTTCTACACAACGGCAGATGAAACCGTCCATAGCCCGATAGGAGTTCGGCATGATTTGGGCCGGTACTATATTGTAAAAATTAAATAAAGAAACGAAAAAGGGGTCGAGCGGGAATCTAAGGTCGGCTTTCACCGAGTCCAAATGGACTACTACCATTCCGGGAAAATGGCGCATTGGGTGAAGCCCAGATTGAAGATGGAAGTCCACAGGGTCAGGGATCAAAGTCTGAATTTGGGCCCTATTTGGGCCTGTAAGCTTTTGCCGTCAGAGCCGAATTAGGGTTAAGTCCAGCTTGTGACGCGGGACATCTCGGGGACGGCCGGCTATCATCAACTCGAGTTCATCTTCAGATTTGGTTCCGTCCGAATAGGTGCTATTGTGGGAGGCGTCATCACCGGAAGCCTCCTGCTGAGAAACATTTCCCACCACGGCGTTTGAAACCTCCCGCTGAGGAACTCCTTCGGAAGTGGATGCATTACTGAGATGCGAACTAGACGCCATGTGTGACCGAACAGAAGGAAGAAGGAAGAAGAGAAGGTGTGAAAGGTACCTGAATAAAGAAAAGCTTTGAAAAGCTTTAGAGAGAAGGTAGAGCAATGGGCCGAATATGCAAGGTTTCGAAACCCAGAACCAAAGCTGGAGAAGCCTATTTATAATCTGTCACGCCGAATCAACGGCCAATCAGAAAAGAACACGTCACTAGTAATGATGACAGCGACACGTGTCACGTTGAGAGCCCTCCCCAAATAATCATAACGATTATCAGAGAAGTGAAACGGCAGCCGAAAAAACCGTCAAGATTATGCCTCGGGAACTGGCGGAATCCTATCCGCTACATACCCGAGCAGCGTTCGGGCAATCTTCTTCTACTTCCTCATGCACGCACTACCGTTCGAGACATAGGAAGTGGGGGACTAGTGTTGGGATATTGGGTCCAAGCCTAATATCCACGGCCCAAAGCTTGGTGGACCCCGATCGGCATTCGGCACAGTTCTTATAGTTGGAGTATTTCAGGAAACACTGACACCTAAACACCCATGGCGGGGTCCCGCACACCGAACGGGGTGCCCGAACGGGAAGTCAGCAAATGGAAGTCACATTTAATGCTAAAGCATGGCAGAAGCAAGTGGAGACGTGGGTGCATACGTGGCAGAGGTTAGAGCCTACCAGATCCAGCCACGTGTCCAGCTCACCCTACCCCCTCTTAGTATAAATATCTGCATTGAATACATTGTAAAGGGTTAGCATTTTAATACTCAGAGCTTAGCAGTTAGAGTTATCTCTCTTATTCTTGTATTCTTGTACTTACCTACCGTTCGGGTAGTACCAGTGTAATCGCAGAATTACTGAATGCAAGTTAGCTCCTGAGTTGAATCTTATTCCATTGTTTTATATTTTCATACACTTTCCAAACCAACCCTACGTCCTTAGATATCCAAAGCGTGTGTTGGGCTT